AGTCAATGAAAGCATAAGCCCATGTTTTTCTTGTGTCAGGTGTTGAAGGAAAGTGGACGTGCTCGGTTAGTATCTTTTCCTAGAATACACATGATCTTGTGGATTTAAAAGAAGTTTTTATGTGTAAATGTAGTACTTAAATTGCTATTAATTTTGAAAATATGTTTAGATTAAAATACTTTTTTTTTTTTTAACGCCTACAGCACCTGGTCTTCCTAGGTGGTCTCCCATCCAAGTACTAACCAGGCCCGACCCTGCTTAGCTTCCGAGATCAGACGGGATCGGGCACGTTCAGGTGTGGCGTGGCCGTAGACTAAAATACTATTTTTTTTGTTAAGAACAGTAGTTACATAGTTTTTAGTTACTTAAGAGTCTCAATACACGTCTTGCTCAGTTTAACGATTTTTTGAGTTTTGTTAACCACCATTATAATGTTGAAATAGAATCAATTGATTTAAAAATGTTCCTGCTCCAGTAAGATGCATTTCTTTTAAGCACAGTATTTTTTTAAAATGTCATTTTGGCTATAGTTGGTAATACAATAGTTTAGAGACGACACAGGAGTAATTTTCTGTTAATAGAGTTTTGCTGAAATTATTTTCCGCTTCAACTAGTAAAAGGAGTGATAAGAGCGAGGACCCCAGATGCTAACTGAATCTTTTAGTTTCAGGTAGTTTCTTAAAAAAACGTTTAATTCTGAACTAACTTTAGACTTAAAGAAGAATTGCAAAAATAATGGAGAAAGTTCCCATAAGCCGTTGGTCAGCTTCCCCGTGTTAGCTTGTTGCATAGCAGGAACGAGCATCGTGTTGCCGTTAGCTAAACTGTGGCCAGTATTTGGCGATGCACCCTGCTCAGTGGCACATTTGGGGCACCTCCAGACTTATTGTGGGAGATGCTGGCATTGATCCTGGGTTGCAGTGGGCTCTGTGGAGTTGCCATATCGTTTCCTTTATAAATAGCGTCCAGGGGGACCCTGTGAGACCGGGTAACTGTCCTGCTTCTCTGTGAACTTCACCCGCCAGTCTCGTGCTTGTCAGTGGGTCTTGCCCACAGCAGGTGCTGCGGTGGCCCGTGGCTTCTCCGCACAGCCTTTCGTGCGGAAGGTGCCCCCTCCCTTCTCCACGCATGGAAGCGGTTAGGCCACTGTGCACGCCGGCCACTTCTTTGGTTGTTGGGGCTTCGCCTACCACTCTTGGTCATTTTGTCACTGTTTGCTCCACCGCCAGCTGCCAGAGCTGTTTTAGGCCAGTGTCTGTGCTTTTAGCGGAACCGTGCTTTTTTTGTGAATACTTTCTTTCTTTCTAGCACAGCAGATGCTCCAGACTAACCCCTTCCCTGCCCCAACCCTGGAACCAGCCGCTTTTGTGAGTCTGCGTTCCTTGGTGGGATTAGGACCCAAGACACAATTCACTCCTGCACCCAGACACACACGCACCCCAGGAGGCCACGCATCCACGTGGACACCCGTGAGTCCCTTGACGTTCTGGCCTCCTGCCCGCACCTGCCCGCACCCGTTCTCCCCTGGCCCTCGTCCTCTGTGATGTCTTCCCCCTTCCCCAGGAATCCCTGGTGCCAGCCTGCTAGCCCCCATCCCGGTGGGACACTCGCCACCCAGAGGAGACAGCTCCTGTGTGTCATGTGCCTTGCACCACTCAAGCCCGCCCCGGGTGTGGACTCACGCTGTAACGTAGGCACGTTCCCTCGGCCCTCCCAGGTCCTTGCTTTCTGATAGTATTTTTAAAATTTGGTGTAGAAACATTCACTCGTGTCACATACACTTATTTGGGCTTCGACCAGTTTCACAAGCACAGCACCAAACGGCGGTGCCACCGCCCCCCGTGCCTTCTGTCTGCCCTTCGTGGTTGGCCACCTCATCCTCTGGCCACCATCATTCTGCTCCTGGTTCCTGTAGTTTTGCCATTTCTAGAATGTCTTATACATGGAAATACACAACGTATAGATTTTTGATCCTGGCTTCTTTACTTAGCAGCAAACCCAGGGAGGTCAGAAGCCTGACCTGGGTCTTACTGGGCCAGAAGTAGGCCGGTTCCTCCCAGAGGTTCCGGGGAGGCCTGTTCCCATTTTTCAGCTTTCGGCGCCTTCCTGCGCCTTCACGGCCAGTAGCTCAGGCCGAGTTCTCAGGCTGCGTCCCTCTGGTTCTCCTGTCCTCCTGTCCTGCCTCCTGCATCCATTTCCAAGGACTCATGTGACGACACTGGGCCTGCCGGGAGACCTCCCTGTTGTCAGCTGCTTAAACACCGAGTCGTCTCTTCAGCCTAACTCACCTTGGCAGGGAGCAGGACCATGCACAGGTTCGGGGGGTTGGTGCCTGGACCGACGTCTTCCGGCGTGCTGAGCTGCCCGGCGCAGGGGCAGCTGCTGTTCAGGCTGGAAGATGTGGCCGTGCCCAGGGTCTGGTGGGAGAAGAGGCTCAGGACGGGAGACAGGACTGTGGTTGTGTCAGGGCCCCCGCTGTCGGGCAGGCGGGTGGCAGCCCTTCGAGGGGCCTGCTGTGTCTGAAATGCCCCTCGTGAGAACATTTTCTCTGTAGGCTGACAGGAGATGCATGTTCTCCTGCCGCCCCTGGAAACAGCACCTTGTCCCCACGCCTGCCCCAGACCCTTTCTTTTCTGTGGCTGCTGAAGCTGTGCAGCTGGATGAGCCCTTTTTGGTCCACCCCTGCCACTTACCTGACCAGCGAGGCGGCGAGGCTTGACGTGGGTTAGAGCTTTCCGACGTGGTCGTGGTTGGCCGGGGGGAGACATGGCCGTCTGTGGGGCTTTGCGTGACACCCAATATCTGTTTCTCGTCCTTGGCTGCTGTTACTGGGAGAGTGTGGAGTCGTTGTCCTCTCTGGGCTCTGCTGGTTGCCTGTCGGCCCCCACACTGCCAGTTCTTGTCCTCTGGGCACACCCTTCTATCTGACGTCCTCCAGGCCCCGTGCACAGCAGCGCTGCGCCCTGCGACTTCGCTTGCTCACAGGTGTATGTGTGTGCACTCTCATGTGGCTCTCAGTATAGGCAGGTTGGTCACCGTGGCTCGCCCCCTCCCGAGGGCGTCTCGAGCTGCACCCCGCACCCCAGCTCGCTCGGACCATCAGGGGAGCGAGGGGCTGGTGAGTGCACAGAGGCTCCCTCCGGTCGGTGTCACGGATTCACGCTCTTCTAAGTACCGTTCTCCCTTTCTCCACAGTGCTCTGGTCATTGTCACCGTGTTCGACCGAAATGTCAACTGCAGGAGAGCAGCCTCTGTAAGTCTTCCTGTTTGTCCCTTTTCGTTTTGGTGTGAGGTTCTGACCGCTGCCCGCTCCGCTGAGTGAGCAGGTCACGGTCTCTGGGTGGGCCCCGCACATGGCCCTGGTGGTTTGGTCATGGGGACAGCAAGGAATGCTGGTGAGGACACGGCCGAGAGCGGCCTCTGGAGAAGCTGCGTGGTAGAGTGATGGTCCCGGCCCTCTGGTCTCCTGGCCTGGGGCGGGCCAGTCGGGGTTCAGCACCCCGCTGCGGGCATGTTGAGAACGGCCGCTGCCTCTGGAGCACCAGGCAGATGAGCAGACGCAGCCCAAGGCGGCCCACGTTCTGATGGGGGGACTAAGTGGGTTCTGTGAGCACGACCCGAATGTGACCAGAGCAGGTGGGGCAGAGGTGAGCTCAGCTCACATAGCCCAGGCCCTGCCGGCCGTGCTGGCCACTGAGGTGGAGCTCGAACACTGAACCTGCCTCCAGAGTCACCCACGACGCGAGGTCGGGCTAGGAGGGCCTCCCATGGGCCCACAGCGGCCTCCGCATGACCGACCTTGCTGCTCCCCCGCAAGCCAGGCGGGCCCCGTGCTCCCAGGGACAGCAGAGAGGTGATGGATGCCGAGCTCTGTCCCCAGGGTACTTGCTGGGGACGTTGATGGCATGAGCCAGATTGCACTTGGCTGTCTTACTGATTGTCAGTCACCTGGACCAGGGTCGGATTCGAGCTGGGACAGCAGAATGGCCGAGCCGGGCTCTGCCAAGGGGGCCGCTGGCTGGAACAGCAGAGCTGTTGACGACAGAGCCTTAGTTTCGGACGCAGACGAGTAGCTGCACATGTTGTACAGCGTTGAGGATGACACAGCCGCACTGCTTCGAGATGGACGCAGGGTGAGGCTGTGTGGGCCGCAGGGGGCCCCAGTGCTGCCCTCAGTCTGGTCTCTGCCAGGGCCTTACATTAGGCATTGCGTGAGCTCAGCATTAGCAGCAAAGGCCACTTTTCAGCGTGTGTCTGATTTCATAAACTCGAGACATTAAATTGTGGTTTTAAAGAGCACTAGGACATGAAACAGAGTGACAAACCACCCCCGGAGGCTCCGATCAGCCAACAATGAGGACTTTTATAGAAAAAAAAATAAAGCCACGGGTCATTTGTCGTGAGTTTATCTCCTGATGGTGTGTGAGCCTCACTCACTTCGTTCTGTTTGTTCCCTGTTCCTCAGGCCGCGTTCCAGGAGAATGTGGGAAGACAGGTATGGCTGCTTCTAAAAATCTTCGTTCCTAAAACTTCCTGTAGATCTAGAGGTGGAAGTATTGAAAGCCCCAAACTGAGTTCCCAACCGGCTGTTGGATATGGGTGACACACTTATGTGGGGTAAGCTAGTACTTAACACGGTGACTTCTGGCCACAGATTCCTCGTCACATGACTCAGGTGAGTTTTGACACAAGTGTTAAACGGTAATAGTGTGTTTTATAGGGAACCTGAACCTGTAATTTTACACACACGTGTCAGAAGTTAGTGCCTTATGCCCTGTTGGGGCTGCCCGATGCTGCCAGGTGCCCACGGGCCCTGCGGGTATGTGGGCAGAGGGACTGGCCTCACAGGGACAGGGTCGTGACCCTGCCTGTGTTACGTGCGATATGAGCCAGCTTCTAGGAGCCATCGACCCCATGGCCTGTCTTGATACTCGCCAGTGTCATCATGCCCCTTGGCCCTGTCCTCACTGGTCAGCCTGGGCTAGGGGTGTGGCCTTTGTCCCCGAGCTATTCACACTGTATGGCTGACCTGGTGGAGAACGGGCCAGAGGCAGGTCCCGTTCAGGGAGGCTGGGGTGGGTGGCGAGAGGTGAGGGCGCCAGGAGAGGTGTAGGGGTCGGGGCTGGTGGCGAGTGCGCTGGGCGGGGGATCAGCAGGTCATGTTGGGGAATGATTGGTGACGGGTCTGTGGGGCTGCGGGGCAGGAGTCAGGCTGCAGACTGAGGGGTCCCCGAGCAGAAGGCTCGCTCCCGAGGGAGTAGAGGACGGGCTGAGGCAGGTCATGTGGGCACCAGGGGAGGGAAGCTGTGAGTGAAACGCAGGAATTCTAGGATGTTGTACGTGGACGTTAGGATGGCGTGCCAGCAGGGACTGCTTCCGAGGAGTGCCGCACAGGGGCCAGGTGGCCCTCACACCTGGGAGCAGAGTTGCCTCGCTGTCGTGAGCCCGGGGGCCTGTGTCCTGCATGCTAGGTCCACGGCCTCTGGCTTTAGTCGCCATTCCTGGGCTGCTCAGAGCTGTTTGGACGGTGACGTGCACGCACAGACTTTCTTGGTCCAGCACCCGGACAGAGGAGGAGCCTGAGTGCCGCCTGGAGGGTGGGCAGGCCGGGGCAGGGGAGGAGGCAGCAGCGCGTGAGCCAGTGAGCTGGAGACGGTGCAGGGACAGCCACAGTTAGACCAGGTGTGCTGGGTGCTTCGATGGCAGTGATTCCTGCTCTGCGTGTAGCCGTGTCATAGGCGATTGGCTTTTACTTGTGTTTGTGAGTCAGACTGCCATCTTTGACGTGGCTGCCACAGTTAACGGACACCCAGGGGTCCTCATCACAGGCCAGAGCCCAGTCCTCAGCTTCATTCCATGTGTGTCGCTTCGACCCAGGAACTGCTCTTCCAGGCACCCACCCCCGTCAGTTCCGGTGCAGCTGCCACATGCATCACATCCCCACGACGCACCTGCTGCGTCTGTCTGTAAATGCAGGCACAGGTTGGCGTTCGGTACACGTTGCTTTCTGTACCTTGCTCGTCACTCACGTGGGCTTCGCGTGTGAGTGGGAGCTGCCCTGCTCCCTTGCACGTCCCACTTTTGGGATGAGTGATGGTTGGGGGGCCAGGCGCTCCTCTCCTGCCTCCTGGGGGTGCTGGCTAGAAGGCCTGCCCCCTCCTCGGTTGGGAGTTGTCATTGAAGACTTTTTAGAAGACTGTGTTCACACATTCAAGTACTGTATTGGTGGAACCTTGCAGACTTGGGGTGGGGCTGAGCGAATGTCTTTGGGAGGCTGGGGGGGTTCCCCTCTGCCCCTCCATTTCAGAGTCTGCTTCTGGGTGGCTGTCGACCCTCCACGTGGCGCCTCCCTGTCTTCTGTCATTCCCTCAGGCTCCTGTCCTGGTTTCACAGACTGGGCAGGCACCTGCCCCTCCCGTGACCGCTGGGGTCCTTCTGCTGGGTGGGGCCCGGGGTAACCGCATCATCAGGTTTGATACAGTTGAAACCTCCTGTCATTTTTAGTGTGTGGTTTAAAGAAAGGTCTCTTAAAGAATTTTAAAGTTGAAATGTTTAAGTTGTTTGAAAAAGAATATATTTAAGTAATTCAAATAATCGTAGCACGGCGTCCACCCTGGGCTAGGCCTTGGGACGTGGACTGAGTGGACGCAGCTTATGTGGTGCACAGCGCTGGCTGTCCGGGCATCGTGCGTTCCGTGCGCACATGGACACATGTCCGTATGGCTACTGGACTTGGGACGTGCCTCACTCGTTCACATTATTTTCACCTTTTCCCCACTTTTCTTTTCCTTAGGGGGCCTTTCCTCATGGACTTGATATTCTGACCACGGCCGACTATTTCGCTGTTGGTAACAGGTCTAACTGTTTCCTGGTTATAAGGTAAGTTTTTAATAATTCACCACAAGATGCAGTGTCTCCTTTGTCTTGGGAGTCAGAAACCTGTTTCCACCGTTTTCTGTATGTGTGACAAGTTAAAGGTGGGATTGGGAGCCGTCACCGAAACGCCCACTTCCCACTGGTGGGAGGCGCGCACGCTGCCTGTGTCTGTGCAAACCCGTGAAGACACACTCGTCCACAGGGACGGTGGCGGGTCGGGGTGGCCTGGAACAGGGTGCGGGGTCTGATGGAGAGGCGTCGGCTCGCTTGTTAGAGGGGCTGTTGTTTTCAGGAGCGAACTCGGAGCGGACACCCTCCCTGGTCGCCGTCTGTCCCTCGGTCTCCCTGATCATTAGCGCTGTCTCTGCCGCGGCCTTGGTCTTCTGTGGGACATGGCCACAAGCCGGCCTGGGTGCTGCCTGTTGGGCAGCGGCTTTCCTCCCAGGTGCCAACTGTGAATCGAGCTCCTCGGTGAAATCTTGGATCAGAGGTGACCAAGCTTCTCCAAGCGTGAATGGATGAAATGGTGCTTCCCTGTCAGGGTTGTGCCAGGTGTTTGCAGCTCGGGGAGCAGGAGGGAGCTGGGGGGTCAGGTCGGGGAGGGGCCTTCAGCATCCTGACCGCAGGGCACAGAAGTCACAGTGGAGCGCACTCGGGCCGAGCTGCCGGGAAGTGGCCTCAGGGGTCCTGCTTCGCCTGCTGCAGCGCTGGCGGAGGGTCCTGCTGTTAGGACGTGACGTGTTAGTTTCACTGGGAGAAGGGCGCCCAGTGCGTAGCCATCGTACCCGAAGGCGGAGGCCGACACCTGCTGTGCAGACCCTGCAGGAGCCGCACTTGCCCGCAGCCAGCGTGGGCGCGTGGCGCTCGGCCTCTCCCGACACGTGGTCGCGTGCGCCTGCGTCGTCGGCAGCCGTCCCGTCCCTCCTTCCCGCGACGTGGCCTCTGCGCCTCAGCAGTGTCCCCGTTCGTTTTCTTTGTTAGCATTCGAGCATGTGTCATGCGTGGAGAGCGTCCTGCCTTTCCCCACGTTTCACGGGTAAATAGCTCGTGGTTTTTAGCCTTTTCCCGTTGCTGACGTTTATAACATGTGATTTGTGGTCTGCGTTTCGGAGACGTGTAGTGGTACGTGACCTTGCTCAGGTCCTCTTTCGGCGTGCATTTGTCACTCTTATCGTGGCCAAAAGACGGTCTGTGAGGTCCAGAGTCCATGGGCGCACTTCATGAACACACAGGGCGCTTAGGGGGCTCTCCCCTGGACCCGTACAGGGCAGTGCCCTGGTCCTGCTGCCAGCCAGGGCTGCGGGTGGACGGACCGAGCACATGGCAGTGGGGGCCCGGTGTCAAGGGGACAGCCCCGTAGAGAAGGGGCTACGTCAGCAGGGCCCGCTGGGGGCAGGTGAGGACCTCCGACCCAGGCGAGGAGCCGGGTTGCCCCAGGGTGTGGGGCGCGCTGTGATGGTCAGGTGTGCTTTCCGAACGGTCACTGACTGCGTTCTGGTAACGAGGGGCAAGGAGATGGAGCCCATGAGGCGGGGTGGTCGGCAGTGGGAGGTGGGGTCCCCAGAGCTGAGTGGGTGTTACCAGGAGCTCGTGGGGGTGGGGTGGGGCCGTCGAGAGCCGCCGGAGGTGTCCAGGGTCACTTGCAGCATGGTGCTGCTGTGAGAAGTGCCTGTGGGTTTGGGGACGGTCAGGCCCTCAGCTGTGCGCCCCGGATGCGAGGGGCCCAGGCGCATCTGCATCGCTGGAGGTTGGTGTGCCAGGCGCACAGACGGAGCTGAAGTGAATGGAGGCACCTGGGCCGTCGGGGGCACCCGCAGTTGCCAGCAGTGTTCTCAGTGCTGACGACACACGGAAAACTGTGTCACGTGGCCCACAGCATGTCCCTGCTCTCCAGCTTGGGGCTGGCCGAGCCGTCCAGTCCTGGCCGTGTGGACACAGCACTCCCGTTTCCCGGCCGTGCTCCGGTGGGACGCGACTCGCGGTCACCAGCGTGTGGTCGTCCTGCCCTCTCGCTGTTCAGATCTCCTCACCAGAGTTCTGGCGCCTGCGGTCCTGTGCGTCCTTCCTGAGGTGCATTTTGTCACATTTTGCTTTCGAGCAGTTTGCTTCCCAACAGTTTTGCATTTTTCTGGCCACTAAGTTTTTCAAACTAAGGAAGCCTCAGAGTGAACCGTTTCCTTCTGTGTGTTCTGACTCTGTTTCGCTTCTCCTTATTCCCAACATCCGGTTGGTGACCTGATTCTGTCACTTCTGCGTCCCTAATCGCCCTCATCCTGCTTTCTCACTCAGCTGTCACCTGCGTCCAGCTCTCACTGTCCTGGACAGTGGCAGAGCTGTCACTGATCCCCTCCCTTCTGCCCTCGTCATCTGTCTAAAGTGCCGGTTGGAGGCATTCTTGTTACTGTCACACCAGCACCCTGCTGTCCCCTCAGGCCACCTTGTCCTCCCCGTGGACACCCCCCTCGGTCTGTGCTTGGCCAGACAGCTGAGTGCTCAGGAAGTGCTGGGAGCTGCCCGGGCTTCTGGTTCCCGTATGCGCCTTCTCCCAAGTCGGCCACTAGCTGGTGCCCGAGCTCCGACTGGACGTGGGGGTGGCTTCTGTCTCACTGTCCCTGTGAGGCCACAGGCTGTGTCTCTGCTGGCTCATTTGGAGTCCCGCTCAGTTCCTGGATGCTGGCCTGGCCTTGTCCACTGTCTGGCTTTGCTGGTTTTCTCTCTGACTCTCTTCAAGCTGCTTCACCCCCATTGGAGGGCTCCACTCCCACCCACCTCCGAAGGGCCTCTGCTTTCCTTCCTTCCACGTCCAGAGCGGAGGCCTGCCCCACCCAGCTTCCCAGCTCTCACACCTGTAGCGCAGGCATATGCACCTGGCACCGTATTTGGCCTAGGTGTGTGCACAGGTGTGCCCAGGGGACCTGTGTGCAGTTGTATTTTCCGTTCCGTGGCTTTCCATGCCACCTGCCTTGTGTCAGCCACCGTGCAGCTCACGTGAGGAGGGCTGAGTGCACGGTGGCTTGCGTGGATGGGCAGCAGGTTCAGAGTGTGAGCGACGGGGTGTGGTTGAGGGTGACGTGTAAAAGATCACCTTTTGGAGTAGGCGACACGTGTGTAGTATAACTCAGAAAGTGCATAGCGTGTGCAGGGAAGACTCAGTCCGTGTCACCCCTCCTCCCAGCCACCTGCGTCCATCCTGGGGGTCCCTGGAGGTTTGGTTCATGGCTCACGTTTAGGCATGTGGACTTCGTCCGTCTGTCCTGAATGATGCGTTTTTCCTGGCAGATGTCGTTCTTTGTCGGTCGTGTTTGGATGTACTGATGTTTTCTTTTATGGCTTTGGGGATTTAAGTCATAATTAGCAAGGCTGTCCAGCTTGGAGATTGTTTTTAGAATTTCTCCTGTGGGTTTTTGAGAGACGCGACTTGTTTTTAAGGTATGATTTGCACTCTAGCCATCCCTGTGTGAAGTGTGCCGTTCAGTGAGTGTGTCCAGCACGCCCCTGGCCCCCGGCCCCGCTGCGCCGTCACCGTGGGCCGCTGCAGCTTCCACAGCGTCCACTGACGTGGAAGGGCACGCTCCCGTGTTGCCTCTTTCACTCAGCGGGATGGTTGTGAGGGCCGCGCACGTCGTGTGCATCAGTGGCTCATTCCTCTGGTTGCTAAGTTGTCTTCGACTCTGCGCTGTCGTCCACTTTTCTTCGTAGTTCGCCTGTGATAGCCGTTTAGGTTGCTCTGAACTTTTGGGTCTGAACGTTCATCCAGGAGTCTGTGTGGACGTATGTCTTCGTTTGGGTGAACACTTACACGATTTCTCTGTTTTTAACTTCATGGGAAACGTTGAAAGCGGCAGCAGCATTTTACGTCCCCACGGGCAGCGCGTGAGCCCTGTCCCTCCACGTCCTCACCGTCGCCAAACATTCTCTTTTTCAGCACGTTTATTGCCGGCTTTCCCGAGTATACACGACCAATGATCGATCACCTGGTCACCATGAAGGTCAACCATTGGGACAGGTAGGTTTTGTGTTTCTGTGTCTGTGTGATTAACTGTGGCGTTGTATTACCTTTCTTGTCAAGAAAGAATTCTTATTTTTTTCCAAAGGAGAGATTAAATTGAGTCCATAAGCCTCGAATGTACCTTCTCGTTGTGGATACGATGTTTTAAAATGACTCCTGAGAAGTGACGTGGCTGCAGCCTTCGTGCCTGATGCGTTGGCTGATGGTCGACCCCCAGAGTCTAGTATGTCAGGCGCACGCACGCTCCCATGTAGACGCGCGCCTGTCGGCGTGTCGTGGAGGGCAGGTCACCACCTGAGGCCGCAGGAATGGGCTTCGTCTCCCCCGCGGCCCCCGCCCCGGCTCTGCTCTGTGTGGCCGCCCTGGTCGGCTGTGTTCTGGAAGCCCAGCGGGTCCCGTAGCTCACCCCTTCTCATGGAGGGGTCCTAGATGTCTCATCATCTCATAGGCAGTTACGTGCGTTTCTTCTGGGGGCAGCTGTGCTGGAACCCAGAAGTGAGCAGTCGGGGGCTGCCGCCCTTGGCACTTCCCCTGAGGCGATGAGTTATTCCCTCTGGGGAGCTTGGTGTGGCTGCTGCTGCATGGACGTGGGAGGGCCTGTGGGCGTGAGCAGCTGCGTCAGGTGGCATGTCCGGAATCCCAGTTTTAGGGTGGGTGTTACTGGCAGATAGTTCTGATCCGTTTCTGCCTGGACGTGGCCTGGCCCGCACGCGCCCTCTAGCCGCTCCGCGTGGCCGGGCCTCCCGCGCGTGCAGTCAGGGCTCGCCCTCTCTGCGGCCACCTGAGTGGAGCTGTGCATGTTTCTGACACCTGAGGCATGATTGCAGATGTGACACCCAGACTCGTGATTCGGAGCAAAACTCAATACACAGAACCTGGGAGAGATTAGTTAGTATGTCTGCCCTGCCAGCTTATCAGTCAACAGGGTGTTTAAACCAAGATTGCAAACGTATCACCCGTGGTTTTAGACTGAAGTTGAGCTATTGAAATCTTAAGCTGTTGTCAGAATGTTCGTTTCTCCTTTCGGGTCTGTCCGTTTTCCTTCGTCTGTTCTGGGTGGGGCTCCCTCGTTAGGTGCATGCACGTTTACAGTTTTTACATCTTCTTAATGTGTCGACCCTTTATGAAGTGTCTCTTTGTTTCACACTAAATATCCTGTCTTCCACTGTGATTTGATATTGTTCAGGGTCACCAAGCCTTTTCTGTAAAGATACAGGTGGTATATATTTTCGGTCACCGTCCCATACGTTTCATTGTCGTTTTCCTTATACGATCCTTTAGAAATGTGAAAATCATTCTTAGCTTGGGGCTGGACAAAGGGAGGCCTGAGGCCGGGTGGGCCGCAGGCCAGCTCCTGTCGCGGTGACACCAGCTCCCTCACGACCATCTGTCCCCTGCTCTCAGCCTGTGCGTCCCTTGGGGACAGCCGTCAGGTCTGCTTTTGTGTCGGCGTGACCGACGCTGCCTTTGGTGTGAGGCCGTGGTGCAGTCACGTTCGCTGTAATCATCAACACGCCTCAGTTCACGCCTGTCGTTTGGCTGTTTGTTTTCTATTTTTCCTCTTAGCTTTTTTTGTATGCACTTTATTTAAAAATTCTTTGTGGAAACCTTTTCAGTATGAACTCTGAAAACCTAGAAGTTCTCAGGACACGTGACACATGAGGGAGGGGACGTGCCTTCCCTCCTGCAGCAGCCAGGCTTGCAGCGCCTCGTGAAAACAGCAGCCAGCGTTTCCTAGAGCATCAGGGTTTACAAAGTGTGGTTACAACCTTTTCTTGTGATTCTTCATGGGAGTGTTTCTGCTTTTCTCTGTGTTTGGCCTGGATTGTATTAGTGAGATGTCAGCTAAAAGTTCGTAAATAGAGTCTCTAGTTTTCTGGTAAATGCAAGGCTCGTGGAAAAAGGGAGCCTTACAGAATTTTTTTAAACCGTATTTTCAGCCATGTTCTATTTATTTTTTATTAAAGTGTAATTGCTCTCCAACAGCCGGTTAGTTTCAGGGGTACCGCAGTGATTTGGTGCTTATGGCATTCTTCGCCCTGTTCGGAAGTGAGCCTAGCCTGTCAGTGTGGGTGTCAGTCACCCCTTCAGCAGCACACGTTTTTAAGAGGAGTTGGTCCGTCATCTCGGGCTTCTTAAAGGTTTTCTGCTACTAAGACATACTCACCCAAAGTAATTTGTGTGTCAAGGTGAGCTTAACCAAAAGCTTGGCCTGTGGAAAACACACATGATGTTTCTTTAACTGTCCTCAGCATGCAGTTGAGCACTTCACCTCACTGTGCAACCCGTCTGCAGAACGCTTTCGCCTTGTAAAACAGACCCTCTGTCCCCATTAAACAGTGCCCTCACATAAGTGGCGTCACACGGTTTCTGTCCTTTTGTGACTGGCCGATTTCACTGAGCACAGTGTCCTCAAGGCCGTGTGCTGAAACGTCCTTCCTTTTCAGGGCTGGATAATATTCCATCGTGCGGACACACCAGTGTCTTCATTCGTGCGTCGTTAAACCCTCGGGGTGCTTCCAGTTTTTGGCTGTCAGTCATGCTGCCGCGTACTTGGTCATGCAAATATCTTTCGAGACCCTGCTTTCAGTTCTTTTGGGTGTATACTCAGAAGTAGAATTGCTGTATCTTGTGGTAATTCTATTTTTAATTTTTTTAGGAACCTCAAAAATCATACTGTTTTTCCTAATGGCTGCACCATATTACATTTTTACCAGCAATGCACAAGGATTTCTGTTTTTGCAAATTTTCACCAATACTTGTTTGCTTTTGATTTTTTTTTTTTTTAAGTGGTTGTGAAGAGATAGTTTATTGTGGTTTTGGTTTGCATTTCCCCTGTGATCATTGTGGTTGAACATCTTTTCATGTGCTTGTCGGCTGTCGGTATTTCATCTCCGGAGAAACGTCTCTTCGTGTCTTTGCCCCCTTTTAAATGCAGTTATTTCTCGTTGTTGAGTTGTAGGGTCCTTTATACGTTCTAGTCACGAACCCTTCGCAGATGTGTGGTGTGCGAACGCCCTCCCACCCCGCAGGTGGCCTTTTCTCTCTGGATCACGTCCTTTGACACGCAGAAGTTTTAAATTCTAATGCAGTCCAACTGACCTGGTATCTGTTGTCACCTGGTCTGTTTTCACTTTGTTGCCTGTGCTTTTGGTGTCACATCCAAGAAATCATTGCCAAGTCTAATGTCGTGAAGCTTCTTCCCTGTTTCCTTCTAAACATTTGTAGCTTCAGGCCTTCCCATGGTCCTCCCAGCATCTTCTGAATCCCTTGGGGTGTGGGCAGTAGGGACACATTTTGCCCTCCAGCACCTCAGAGGTGGCAGCTGTGCCCCGAGAGGGACCTGCATTTAGGTGTTTCACTTGGTAAATTCTCTTCCCCATTTTTTATAATCAGAGGTTCTGACTTGTTTGTGTGTGTGTTTAATTAGTGGCTTTGACTCAGCGGCCAGTTGATAACTCATGTATGTGAGTTATCAGCTCCTTTTTATGAGTTGGAAAAAGCTAGAATCATCAAAATAAAGGAACTAACAAAATTTCTGTCCCCATCCCCTAGGGTCATCAGAGAGCTGTCAGCAAAGGCGCTGTACAACCTGGCCCAGCTCGCGCCCGAGTACAGTGCCACTCATGGTAGGTGTGCCTTGGCTGTCCTGTGGGCACTTCTCACACACACGCTCCACAAACACGCACACGCGTGCGCAAGGACGGGCCACCCTGCTTGTTTCAGGGCCTCGGGGAGCTGAAAATATCGTGTTTCTCTCCTGTGAGAAGTGCAAGAACTAGTCTGTGCTCATCGGGACGAAACCCAGACCAGTTGCCACGGCCTCTCCGAGGTCAGATGCCGTGACCGCTGTGTGTGTGTGTCCCCAGGGGCTCAGGTCACAGCAGGGAATTGACAGATCATGCTATATTTCATGCATACTTCAGAAGTAGATTTTTTAAAAAATAAGTGAAATAATTCATAGTATAATAACTTAAAAGGGAGGTGCTTCCTGGGCGGCCTGCGGTCTTGGGAGCGCCCCGTCTGCAGCGATCACACACAGGCCCAGTGAGGGAGGGGCCCGCGCTCGGCCCACCTGCCCTTTCTGCTTGGAGCTAGCACATAAGCATCTGATTTCAGCGGCGGGAGAAATACACAGACCTCGAAATCACGCGTTTTCCCGCTGACGTTTGTGAGCGGCAGTGACGCGATCAACCCGTGCCTTTGCATCCAGAGGGACTGGCTCTGCCTGTGAGTGGGCGTCACATGCTCGGGACTTGGTTCCTGAGGGCCCCGGCAGCGTCGCAGCCCGCCATCCAGCCTGGCGTGGTGCTCAGTCCCCTGTAGCCGGTGGCCTGGCTGCCTGCCGGGTGGTGCTTGGCACTGTGCTTCCCTCCTGTTCAGGAGCATTAGTGCCCAGGATGAGGGGGTCCCCGATGCTTGAACAGACCAGACTGCCGCCCACTGCCTCGTCGAGCGCCTCGAGAGGCTATCCCGATGTGGGCGCTGCCCCCTTTCACAGCCTCTGCCCGGCCACACCCAGGAGGGGCAGCTCTTTGGGGTGTCAAGGCTCCAGGGCGCGGTGATGCCCCCAGGCCCATGTGGATGCAGCTCCTCGTCCACACCCTCCCTCTGGCTGTGAGGGTGCTATGCTCGGCTCTGTGTCCCCGGAGCACAGAAGCCCTAGGGGCTTTCTTTGCTTGGAGCCGAGGTGTGCTGTGAGCGACGGTCTCACAGCTCAGCCCTATCCTGCTCTGTCCCCCGGCAAAGACGCTGCCAGCCATTTACTGGCAGGGAAGACGTGGAGAATAGTCTGGGTCCTTGCCCTGTGGCACAGGCTTTGTGTCTGGGGGCCTGGGGAGCACATGCTGTTCGAGGAGCGAGCGATGTCCTCAGTCCCTCTGCCGCCCACTCCCAGGTGCCCAGGAGTCTGGCCCGGTGTTGCGATAGTGACCTGACTTTCAGGGGGTGCATGTCTGCCTTTGGGTTCTGAGCCCAGCTGACAGGCCTCCCTGCGTGTGCTGAGTCGCTGTTCTGCTCGGCTTTGCAGTGTTACCATGCCTGCTGTCGATGACACAGAGCCCGGACCTGCACACGCGGCACGGGGCTGTGCTCGCCTGTGCAGAGGTGGCCCTCAGCCTGCACACCCTCGAGGAGCGGGAAGACAGGTAGGGGAAGCCTCCCGGATCAGCTGCTGGGACCCCATCCACCCTATGTCCGTCTGTCTGTGCACTGGGACCCCATCCACCCTGAGTCCGTCTGTCTGTGCATTTGGACCCTGTCCACTCGTGTCCATCTGTCTGCACTGGGACCCCGTCCGCCCCGAGTCCATCCATCTGTGCATTGGGACCTCGTCCACCCTGTGTCCGTCTGTCTATGCGCTGGGACCCTGTTCGCCCGTCTGTGCTGGTGGCTCAGAATCTTCGGGGTCTCACATCTTGTTTGAGGAAGCTTGTCAGTGGCCACGAGTGTTGAGTACAGACACAGCACAGGGATCCCGCAGAGACCGGTCCAGCCGTGGCAGTACAGAGGGTTGCGCGAGCTTTTGCTTCCCAGGGCAGGTGACAGTCATGCGCACACGCCCCGTGGCCGCCGAGTGCAGTCGGTGCCTCCAGAGCAGAGCGGGGCCCCGCAGCACACTCAGCGCAAGGCGCGAGTCGCCGTCCAGCCCGCAGTGCCAAGGGGCCTTTCTGCTGGAGGCCCCGCTCCGACGCGGTGGACACGCGGTGTCTGGTGACTGTGGCTGAGTCCCAAGGTCACCTCACCTTCCTGATTCCCAAGGTAGCGGGTGGATATAAAAGCAGATGTGTTTTCAGAGAGGACATCGAGTAGGTCACATGCTCAGTACCCTTCAGCCGTTCGTCACTTTCAGTAAAGTGCCAGAGCATTGATTCGAAAGTCCCCACTGAGACTGTCGGTGGGTGAAGTTTGTATAAGTGATGGGACTGCGCGTGGGGTAGGGTCGTTTAGGAAGTCCCGTGCATGGGGACACTGCGAGGTGACGATGCCATTTTCTCACTTGTTTTCCGTGACTAACCGTTCCCAGTGGTAGAAGCTCACAGCACTGAGGCATTTGTCCTTCTGTCCAGTTTGGGAGACAGTGTCATGCAGGTCACGTCCTGTCAGGTGGTGCCCACCTCACCGGCCCCAGGATGGTGGCTGTCCCTGCCCACAGCTCACACTCAGCCAGGCCTCCTCGGGGGCATCTGGCGGGTGAGGGCAGGGCGAGCGTGGGTGGCTTGGCAGCGCTCGTGAGGCAGAGTCAGGATACCGGGCAGAGGGGCCAGCGCCCGGCCCCAGTACCCGCTGCGACACAGCCGTGTGGCCCCAGGGGAGGGCAGAGGAAGGAGCCCAAGTTTCTGCTGGGGCTGCTCGTGTGGGTGCTTGGCCCGCACCTCCCGAAACCCCAGACAGATGGTCTCTGCAGGAGCCTGCGGCTCTCATGGTGGGGCCAGGGTTACCCTGCTCTTCTGGGAATGGGGTCCCACCTGAGATCTACGTCTGGCTGCAGCTGGGGGGCCAGTCTTACCGGCCGGGCCTCACTGCAGGGCTGTCTCTGTCAGTGCTCTATGACGTGGTCCGCACGGCCGCCTCACGGATGGGGCAGGTGTGGTGAGCATGGGACAAGGGCTCGCTTGACCTCACGTGCTGTGCTTGAACTTCTGCAGGCCCAGCGGAAGTTACCTGGATACGCGGGCCGTATGGGGCCTGAAGCAGATCCACCAGCAGGTGCGTGTGTTGGAGCATCATCCAACCCTAAGCTCTGCTCACCTGCCTCAGCCCCGCCTCAAGGCCGGGGCCTCATGGTCGGCTTGGGACAGTGGACTGATCCAGGCACCCGCCACAGGCCAGTGACCAGCATTGACGTGGACAGGGAGAGTGGCTCATGCTGGTGTCCTCGGGGCCTGGTGGAGGGAACATGCAGCCCACATGCGGCCCCCATGTGGCCTGCCACGTTCCCCCAGGGAGTTGGGTGGCCGGGCACTGGCCCACGGAACCCGCAGGGGGGGCCTCAGTTTCCCGATGCTGCTGCCGGGGCCTGGGCCTGAAATCGCTCTGGCAGCCGTGCATGCTTCTGGGGTTCTGGGGTTCCCGGTCTCCCCTGGTTCACGGACATCGGGTATGAACCATGAGTCCTGAAGTTACAGGACAGCTGTAATGTCAGAGTTGCTGGCTGGCAACCTTCTTCCCCACTCCATGCCTCGGTGTCCCTTGCAGGCGAGGCCGTCCACCTGGGCTGAGTGAAGTGCTTGCCCTGGGTGCGGTGGGCTCCATCCCGGCTGTCGGTCCATGCCCGAGGCCGGCCCCGCCCAGAAACGCCAGCCGTTAGTGTTAAAGCCTGCTGTGCTGCCGACAATGCCAATAACTTAAGTAACGTTCATCTTTTTATTTTTAGCTTTATGATCGTCAGCTGTACAGGTAAGCTTTACGAACTCAAAGTTTCTACGTTTTGTGTTTTTCTGAAAAAAACACCGTCAGCACAGGCGGGCGATCGGCTTGCACCATCAGCTGCAGAGGTGTGGGGCTCCTGGGGAACCGTCCTTACAGTGCCTGCTCTGTGCCTGTTCTGTTTGCCACGTGTGACAGATGTGAAAGGTCTGATCTTGGTCTTTTTAAGCATGTTGAGGCTCGTTTGACACGTGATGATGCCGCATGGGTGAGGTGTGAGGGCCGGTGGCTTGCTGAGCACAGATGGCCGTGTGTCTGCAGCCACCGCAAGGCAGCGGCGTCAACCCCCCACCCTCATCCCCACACAGAGACGGAACGTGGGCAGCGAGGTCACAGCGAGGGGTCTGTGCTCTGCGCCCCGCTGCCAGGGGCTGTGCCTTCCGGGCTCCGGAAAAGCAGATCACTCTGCCATTCCAGTGTCATCTTAGATGCACAATGACAGCAGACAGGCTTCCTCGATGTGAGGACTGACCTTTGTTGAGGGAGCCACAGGCCTAGGACGTGACCACCGATGGCTACAACCCACTTTTGATTAGGGACTTCCTGCTCAGCCTGTCTCGTGTGGTTGCTTTGGTCTCTGGGTTTGCAGGGCCCGCCATGCAGGCCTCCCCAGACTTGTCAGGGGTAGCACATGGGCCTCTGCATCCACACCAGGAGCCTCCTCTGTGGCCCCTTGCAGTGGCTGGTGTTGCCCCCTGCTGACTTGGACCCCGTCTCTGGACGGGCCTGTCCACTGTGAGAGTTAGATGCAGCCTTTGTTCCCAGTGATGGCCAGACCTGCCCCCACCAGACCACCGTCTGCACGTGCCTCTGGGATGCGGTTGGGTCTGGGACCCTCTGTGGTTTCTGGTCTCCGTAGTGGGTGCCCAGATGTGCCCAAGGCCACGGGGCCTTTCCTCATGCCGTCCCTGTGACTCCTTCAGTTTGGCTGGGGCCCACGTGTTATCTCCTGAGAGACGCATGGTGGTTTTCCTCCAAAGTGTGTGCCGATGGACTCGGCACCAGTAGCGCCTGGTGAAGCCTTGGTCAAGGGTGTCTCTGCTGGGTCCGGGCTCCCCCAGTGGCCTGCGAGGAAAGCCCGCAGCCCTGTGCGTGGGCTCTGTGGCAGCTGCTCTTGGCCGCTTCTCAGACACCAGTGTTTCATCTGTCCTAACATCAAGAAGGGAGTCTCTCACCCTCCGGTAAAGCAGGGGTCTCCAACCCGGGCCGCAGACCGATACTGATCGGTCCGGGTCCTGTCAGGAACCGGGCTGCACGGCAAGAGGCGAGTGGTGGGCGAGCAGCGAAGCTTCATCCATGTCTGCAGCCGCCCCCCAGCGCCGGCATCACCGCCTCAGCTCCACTTCAGACCGTCAGGCGTTAGATTCTCATAGGAGCACCGGTCCCTGGTGCCAGAAAGATTGGGGACCGCTGCTGTAAAAGACACGTACGTTTCCTTCTGGCGACATGGCCTGAATTCTGGGGACCAACGAGCTGCGTGCAGACTGTGTGGAGCTTGTTGGAGGCCGGAGGTATCTGATGCTGTCGCTGGCATCTCACAGATTCTGAATGTGCACCAGGTCTCCGCTTCTGGGTTTCAGGAGTGAATGAGACGACACCCTTCCTCGTGAGGTCGGCGTAGGGAAGATAAGCCGCCTCCTGTGCTACGGCCGCTCGGAGGGTGGGACTTGGCCGGGTGCCTCTGCAGCATTCCTTCCCAGCGTGACTTGTATGCACATCTCCACTGGAGGCTGCAGCTGGGGACCACAGGGCGAGGTCACGCTCCCTTGCAAGGCCAGGCCGGAGGTTCCTGCCAAGGTCACCAGAAGGTGAGGGAGTGTCATGCCCATGTCCCGCCATTCGGAGCCATCGTATCCCCTTCACCTCCATTATTTTTGTTGAATACTTTTCTCGTAGTGTGAGTTCGGGCGTTCCCATGGCTGTCCTCCGGCTCAGTGACGTGCTGCAGGGACTCGGGACTCTGCTGTTATCGTCACGGTTAAGGCTCATGGCAGCAAAAGGACTCAGTACACTCAACAGAAAAGGCCCCAGGGCTGAGTCCAGGGGACATTAGGCACAAGCTCCCTGTCGTCCCCTCCCATGGATTCATGGGCAGCACTGAATCCTCCCAGTGTCCACTTGGGACACACACATGGCCATGGCCACCTAGGGAGGCCCTCTCAGGCCTAGGTGTCTGGGGGTTTATGGTTCGAGTCAACTCCACGTGGCCCAGGGCTCCACCATAAGTAGCAGTGCCGCGTGGACTGCCCCTCAGGGCGCCAGGCCTGGTGAAGAGCACGGGTCAGGCAAAGTGCTCCAGGGGCTCAGAGCCGCCCTTCACCCCGCAGACAAGGGGCCAGACCTTCCGCCCTCAGCCTGGTCTGCTCCGGGCGCTGCCCCTGGCTGTGGAAGTAACCCCCCTTCTTGGAGACCCCTTATGTTCTGCCTGGTGCTGACCCATGGACCCCCCGCATGGGCGGAAGGAAGCAGACCAGGGTACTGTAGGTGGTGACATAGTAACGGGGCTGCCCCGTGACACCGGGCTGTCCGTGCTGGCTGCCCCGTGGGCTTGCTGGGGACACTTGCTGTGCAAAGTAGTTTGAGGGAAGGAAGGTTCCTGCTGGGGGCCCAGCCGGGCTGCAGAGGTGTCCGTGGACAGATGTTGTTTTATATGCACTAGGAAACAAAAAGTTCATGTGACTTGCTTTATTGCCGAGGCCCGCAGCCCAGCAGCCTGAGGGGCGAGTGCCGTCCGAAGCTCTCGGTTGAGCATCCTGCGACACCTGAGAGCATGGTGGCCTTACGGCCTGTGGTGGCCACGCTGCAGTGTCCGGCCCTCCTGCAGTTTGCAGAACGGAAGCGCAAGAGTCTGATTTCTCTGAGGAGCGTGAGGAGCTGGCTGTGGTCGAGTGGAGACGGGTCTGGGTCTTGGAGAGGAAATGCACACGAGGACGCCCGGCCGTGCCTGGTCCCCGGGGCTGTGCTCTGTCCCTCTGTGACTGCAGAAGTCGGCCAAGGCCTGTCAGAGGCCCCTGGTTCTGTTGTCCCGTGAAGGCCGCCTGGGCTGTCCTTTGCTTCGCTGGTCTGGGGAGCTTGGCCTCTGGCACCTTGCGTTCGGATTCGCCTTTCTGGGAGAGGGCGTGGCGAGCACCACTTCCCTCTGACCCCAGCGTCTGTCTCGAGTTGTGGGCCTGGACAAAACTGCCATGTCACCGGGACTCCTGTTAGTTACCAGCGTTCCGCCCATTGGCATGTTCTCAGCCAGCGCGTGTGTGTGCGTGTGGCGGGCGTGACGTTCCACCTCTAACACCGGAGATTGTGCGACCGCGAGCTGCTCCCGTTCTTCACACCCAGTGTGGACTCCGGTCCCTTCACGCTGTCCCCAGATGCCCTTCGTGGCCTTTACCCCCGAGCTCGGATCCGCTCAGGCCCGTGTACCGTGTGTGCTGTGGGTCAGCACCCCCCCTTGCTTTTCGTGACCTGCCCCTTCCCGTGGCACGCTCTTTTTCCGTGTTCAGGGCAGTTGTCTTGAATAACGGTCTGCTTTCTGGGTTTGCGGAATTGTCCCTCGTGGTTGCATCTGCCTTACCCAGGGCGCGGCTGCTGTGGCTGGAGTGGCCATGGTGTGCTGCCCACAAAAGCGGCATGAGACGGTGAGTTTGACTCCTAGATTCACAGGTGACTTCCAGAAGGTCAGATGTGCCCTGAGAGGCACGTCCCCTCACAGCTAGTGAGTGACTTGGGGCAGTGGCCTCACGGTGTGTGAATGTGCTCCGAGGCCTTGCCTCTTTGCCTGAGCCCCTGTCATTCTGGGGCTCGTCTGACCCCTGGCTCTTCCTGCGTCTGTGTCCTGGGTCTGCGTGGAGAGAGCACCAGCTGTCCCGCTGCAGCCTGCCCCCTTCCGGCCTGTCGCTGGACCCCTGGGTCCTTCCCCCGGCGTGCTGGCCCCGGTTAACGCCGATGCTGCTCTGTCTTGCCCAAGCGGTGCCGTGCTTGGCCCACAGGAGCCAGTTGGACCTGACCCCTCTCTTCTCTACGTGGCTCCCTTAGTCTCTGAGTGTCTTTGTAGCAATATCTTTTGAAACCTTTTTCTCATTTTGGTTTTTCCCTCATTGCTGTTACGTTCACTGCGGTTCTTTCCAGACGTTATTGTTTGAAGTTGCGTTTGTGTCTTTTTGTGCTTCCAGTGTCTGCTCCCCGTGTTTGCGCCCCCCGCTCCTGTGGAGACTCGGAAGCGGTTGTCCTCGGGTGTCCCTGCGTCTGGCCGCACTGATGGTTTCCTTGCAGTGGGTCGTTCTCCTTGTTGCTTCCCGTGGGGTGCCGGGCTCCGTGAGGCACCGGTGCTGGGTGCCGGTTTTGTGGCAACCCTGCAGCAGTGCTAGTGCTGGCTGTGGCTCTCTGGCGGGTGTCAGGTTGGTGGGCCAGCAGGACCCTCTGGGGCCTGCTCGGAAGGCCTGTGGCCAGAGCCGAACACGCTCGTCGGCTGCCAGGCCGTCCTGGCTGAGGAGTCTGCCGCTACCTCAGGTGTCACCGGGCCCTACTGCTCTGGCTGGTGGGAGCTCCGCCAGCCCGCGGGGGCTCCGGGAAGTGTCCTGCCTCTCCTGCAAGTGCCTCTTCCCCCCACTCAGGTAATGTGTAGGTGCCTGGGCAGTCCTGCCGGCACAGCTCACGGTCTGCCCACGTGGGCCCCTGCAGAGCTCCAGCTGCCTGCTCCCTCCAGCGCCCCACAACCCAGCAGCCTTGGCCCACCGCCTCCCCGTCCTGAGGAATTAGGCTCTGGATGGCCACAGCCCGCTGTGCCCTGAGCCCCCTGGCCTCTGTATTCCCTCCGGTTTCCTAACCGCTTAGACGGGAGGGCAAGTCTGCCGCCGCTTCCTCTGTCCAGGCCGGAAGCCAGTCTCTGACGGAAGTTTTCTGCGTTCCATTGTGTGTTCTGCCCCTTGCGTTCACCAGCTCTCAGCCTCAGGCGTTAGGTACCCAGAGCAGGCTGGGTTCCGTCTCCCGGGTCGGGAGCATTGGGGGGTTCTCTTCCTCCGCTAGAAAACGACCCCAAGTTCCTTCAGTTTTCGCGGAGTCGAACTGTGTTTGGAATCTGTTCTGTGTGGCCGTGTGGTGTAGTTAATAGCAGGAAGGTTTGTAGGGTCCCGTGGGGACTGCAGAGCAGAGCAACCTGTTGGGTCTTGAGGTGTCTGAGAGTCACAGCACACCCTTCCCGCTCGTGAGAGCAGCTCCTGTTCGCAGTGATAAACACCGCTGACACCTTAGTAACTTTCGAAGCCCGAGGTCACATCTGTTACGTGGTGAGGCTGTTTTAGGTTGTTGTACGTGATGAGAGATTTTAACCCTGACTTTTTATTGATTTTCAGGGGTCTAGGCGGAGAACTCATGAGACAAGCAGGTAGGTCTGAGCGGCGGACGGACGGAGGCTGCGGGCTGCAGTTATTCCCACCGTGGAGGGAGGAAAAGGGTCCTGAGGTGTTACTCTTTTTTCAATGCTCTTGTGCTCGCCAAGCATCGTTTCTCGAAGTGACGGGACCGGCGGCTCGTCTGTCACAGTCACCCGCACATGGAAGCCCTGGGCCCGCAGCCCACCCACTGCTCCCGCGTGTTCACTTGAGGCTGGTTTTTTGTTCCTGCGGGTTTTGCTGCATCTCAGGGACCACAGGGTTGGCAGCTGGGTGAGATGGTCCTCGCCGCGGCCTCCCGGTGGGAGATGGTGGGAGACGGGGCCAGCGCGTCCCCTCCCTGTGGTCCCCATGCTCTCAGCTTCCGGGGCTGCACCTGTTCTGAGTCACACAGGATGTTGTCACCGGCCCCCCAGGCAGAGTCGCCCCGCCGTGTGGCACACACGTCCTTGTTGGGCTCCCTTGTCCTTCCTGCCTCCCAGCCCGCCAGGGGCGGTGGTCCCGCAGCCCGCGGTCCTGCGTCCGGACCCGCTGCAGTGTCTCCACGGTGCCCGATGAACTCGGATGTTTCTCTGAAAACATCTTTTTTCACTTTCCTTTGTAAAGGACGTTCTTGCTGATTTTAGAGTTCTAGTTGGGCGTGTGTTAACTTGTCTGCTCGCACTTCACAGGGAACATTCTGTTCTCAGGTTTCTCCTTTTCCGCTGAGAAGTCACCTGTTACTCTCTACTCTCTTGGAGGAGTCTGTTAATTTTCTCTGGCTGCTTTTGAGGTTTTGTCGTGTTCTTTGGTTTTCGCGGTTTTACACGTAGGGTGCGTTTTCTTTGTGTGATCTCGCGTGGGGTTCTGGGGTGAGCTGGTTCAGTCAGTCGTCGTTTTTGTAGAGAACAGGTAAGAGAACGCAGTGAGATGGTCACCGTTAAGGACGACGAGTCTCAGAAGCAGAGGGTGGAGAGCAGGAGACCAACACGTCAGAAACGATGGTCGGGAGTTTTTCCAAAAGTAACCCCAAAAATCTATAGACGCTCCGCATTACGGAATCAGTGTCGACCCGGCGTATGAGAGGTCCAGCTTCTCCACATCCTTCCCAGGACGTGGTGTTATCACTGTTTCTAGTTTCAGCCGTCCGGTGGGCATGCAGTGACAGCTCATTGTGGTTTAGTTGGCATTTCCCTAATGGCTAGTGATGTTGGACATTTTTTGTGTCTTTTAAGTAGTCTTGTTTTTTTTTTTTTTTTTTTTTTTTTTTTTTTTTTTTTTAACAATAAAATGCACTTGAAGTTCACATGCAAGGCAAACAAGAAAATTATCTTAAAACACAGTGAGACTGGGATTTTCCAGTCTCTAAAGCGTGCTTTGAAGCTTCGGAACAGCGTGGTTGGGAGCCAGGCAGGCCGTGGCAGAACAGCGAGGGCACCCGGAAACAGCTCCCGACACAGTGACGCACACGGGACTGATGCTCGCGAAGACGGCCTTTCCTGCCTGGTGAGCACGAGGGCTCACAGGACGAACGGGGCTGTCACAGGTGGCCGTGTGGAGGAAGACAAATCGTGTCCTGCTTCACACGTATCCCAGTACATGTTTCTTGTTAAATAAAACCTTAGGTACAAAAACAATTAAGAAAACTTCAAAGAAATTTAAAGTGGCCTTATAGGATAACTTTGGTCCCTAAAAAACATATTAACTTGGGAGATTTTGCTTCTCCACAAAAGCAGAGAGAAATAGCGTAAGGAGCCCACACACCTGCCTCCGCCTCAGGAGGTGCTGGGGTCTGCTGCTCTCGATGTGCCTTTTCCCTCGGCACGTCCCTTCCAGCGTCCCCAGCATTGCAAAGCAGTGCAAACACGTAACGACACGTCATTAGTTCTGACTGGTAAGGACTGTTGTTTTCATTTTTTAAAAATTTGCTTTGTTTTTGGCTTTTGGCTCATAAGTGCTTCGTAGAGTTAACAGTTCCACGGCTGGGAATGAGCAGTAAAGTAGTTAACGCTTATTTAAGTAAACGTTGACACCTTTTGTGTGGAAGGACATACCGTGCGCATTTAGCAGACCAAACGTGCATTTAGAGGAAGTACTTGTATTGCCATCGAAAGATGAAGTCAGTATGGGCTGCAGATTGCCGGTGAAAGGTAAGCGGCCGAGCTGCGAGTCGGGTGCAGCAGACACCTGGCATTTCAGGAGTGCGACGCGGTGGCCTGAATTGATGGCAGGTGCTTGGCCTCGCCGTAGTCAGGTGGTCAGTGGAGTGCTGACCAGCTCCATGGATACAGTGCTGTTTCCCGTGGCCACGTGGCTGCAGTCAGAGCTTAGTCCCCGGTGCGATAGGCTGTCTGGAGCGTGACTGGAGCTGGCCTTCGGTGTGCCGTCACGGTTGGGAGGGTGTGCGGTCCGCCCTGCACCGGCGGTGTGTCGGGTTGGACTAGCGGCTTGTGTACGGACGGGGGTGGTGGCCTCCTCGTTCACAGCGAAAAGCTAGAAGGGGCGGCAGGGGAGCAGCGAGTGAGGCGACTCCCGCGGGGGTGGGCGCTCTGCGGTGGGGGGTGGCTGCAGGAGCGGGCGAGCCTGCCAGTCGTCCAGCTGCCCCCACGGCCCGCAGGGCCCCTTGCGCTGGGCGGGGCCATGTCCCTGGTCATGGGTTGTGTGAGGTGGGGGCTGTGAGGACCAGGGGTGGCATCACTCTAAGTTGGGAGCATTCCGTGCTCACGCAGACTTTTCCGAGCTGCCTTGTCACTTCCTCCAGCATGGTGGCATTTCAGATAACGGCCATCCGACACTCGGGCCTGAGCAGCGGTGACGAGCACCCCAGCTGAGGCATGGTGGACACTCAGCGTGGTGCTGTGATCGTGCCGTGCTCTGGGGCTCGGCGGTCTTGTCACTGCAGCGTGACTGGGTAGCAGGTCCACGGTGACACAGCTGAGCATGGGGATGTCCAGGGTCCGTGGGCAGCCCTCTGCCCATGGATGCAGCAGGAGCTCAGTAGTGGAAGGGTGGGCGTGGAGAACTGGGAAGGGGTGTCCTGTGGGAGTGGGGTGTCGGAGGGCGGCCACCACAAAGATGGCAGTGTTTCCATCTTACCTGTTTTGTAGGGTTAGAATTTTTTTCAGCAGATGTGAATTACTTACACCAAGAGGAAAACCACTGAAGCGATTGCCATTTTCGTGCGACAGGAGAGGCCACCCTCTCCGTGTGTCGTGTGTGAACAGGAGGGGTGGCGCACGGTCCTTTTTGGGGGCACACGGTGTGCTGGCGGGAACTGGGGCCCATCTGAGGGCTGTGTGGCAGGCCGAGGGCAGATCCTGGAGTGTGTCCACAAAGGCACGATGCCGACGGCCGCTCAGCTCCCCACACCCTGAGTCAGGGCCCCCTGTGAGGTGGGGCCTTCCCCACGAGGTGGCCAGTGGACGCTCAGTGTGCTGCATCGGACCCTACGCTCTAGCTGTCCTCCGCGTGGCAGGCTGGTCATACTGGGCTGTGCCTCCGCCCGGGGACGTTTATATCGATGCTCCATGATTCCGAGAGGTTGGGAATCTCCCAGAGGAGCCAGCCCATTGAGGACAATAAGTGTTCCCTTTTGTGCTTGGTGACAACACACTGGGCGATCCGGGTGGGTGCCCCGGGACAGGGCCCTCCCTCCATCCCTGTGTGCTGCTCCACGGCCCGTACTCAGGAGGGTGCCTCATTCGGCCAGTCGGCATAGGTGTCCGTGACCCGATTTGCCCACCGTCACCACAAATCTGCAGCCGCCACACCAAGCTCTCGACTGGGCGTGGCTGTCCGAAGGGCCGCGGTCCCATCACCTGTGGTCCTGGCGGTCTGGAGCAGGCTCCTCGGGCCGCACAGCTGAAGTGCCCGGCGCTCAGGCGGGTGCTGGGGGAAATGACACTGTGTTTCGCTCTTTTTCTCTCTAGTTTGTGTTTTAATAGAAAAGCTGTCCCTTTGCAGAATCCCCTTTGGCGGTGACGCTGTCATCGGTAAGTAAGTTCCTTCAGTGACCCATGGGGTAGGTGGCATGTCCTTCCAGAACCAGCTCACAGGGCGGGTGAAGACACACCTGGCAGGCAGTCCACGGTGCGAGGTGCCCTGTGTGATGTGGGTGCCGAGCACCCCCAGGCGGGGACCTCCCTTTGTCCTCTGAGAGCCCGGCCTTGCCCAGAGCCCTGGCTCTGCCAGACAGGCGACCGGAGCCCGGGTGACACGGGTGTTGCAGTGGGTGCCGGGGCCGCTCGGGCGGACGTGTGAGTGGCTCTTCAGGTGGCCAGGCCCCTGTGAGGCCGGGAGAGCAGACGTAGCCCCCAGAAAGCAGGGCCCCCAAAAAGCAGGGCCCCCAGACCCTGCAGCCCCAGAAAGCCTGCGCCTCAGAGAGAGGAGCCGAGCAGGTTCAGCATGGCTGCCAGGTTTTGGATCCGATGGAGCTGAATGCTTGGGTTCTTTCTGGGGAGCCCAGGGGCACCTTTCGAGGGAGGGGTACAGGTGAAGACCACCCGAGTTTGCAGATCTGCCGAAAACGAAAACGCCCTCATCGTGGGGGTCCCGGCGTTTCAGCAGCCAGAGGAGACTTTGTCCCTTTAAGCCTGGGGCGTGCCCTCCTCAGGGGCCCTCCAGCTTCGTCTCACCGTCACCGTCTGCTTCGGTTTACGAGTTTGTAGTTTTTAATTTCTTCTAAGTATTCTTTTGTTTCTTTGACAGAAGGCTGGCAATGGTTGATAAATGACACTTTAAGAAACCTCCATCTTACGTCCAGTCATTCCCGACAGCAGATCAAGGTGTGGTAAGCAGGGTCTCGCTGATGTCTGCACTGGGGGAGAGCAACGTTACGTTTTAGGGTTTGTGTCAGAGCTCCGTGTGCATCACGGGTCTCTCTTTGTAAACTGACGTGGAGGTTGATGAATGCCGTAGTCACATTTGGACTTCTAGATGGTGTTTGTATTGTCCGTAATTTGTAATCAAGAAAGTGAATTCAGCCATCGGCGATCAGGGTATATAAGGTTTTATTCTGTTCACCTTCTAAGCGTTTTCCGGGGACGTCGATGGTGACTGTCAGCTGCATGCTGTGTCCGGTCGTGCTGGGGGATTTGGGGGTTGGAAATTGCAGTGACATTCTGAATCCGGGTGCTATTCCCAACTGCGAGCCTGGTTCTCACAGCCAGACCTGGGACCTGCCAGACCTGGGACCCACACAGATGCTCCTGTGCAGTGGGAACCTGCAGCTCAGTCACCGCCACACGTCATGTGCTCCTCAAGCAGGCAAGCACGTGTGTGTCCTCATGGCGAGTGCCGTGGCTGTCCCGTGCGGAGACCGGTGGCAGAACTGCACGCCCTGTCCCTTACAGAGCTCATCGCCGGGTGTTGATGTGACCCAGCGTCGATGGGCGGGTGCAGACATGGAGCACGTGCTGGTCCCTTTGTGGCTCTGGCCTGCGTGTCAGCATTTTTTCTGGGTTAACAGGGTGCACCTGGAGTTTCCTTTTTAAGCAATACTGTCGTTCTCTGGACTCTAAGTCCGTCCTGTCAGTTGGGTTTCAGTGCCTGAGGGTCATTATGTCAGCAGCGAGCTGACGGAGAAAGGAAGGTTCAGGGGTGAGACTCCCAGCTGGAAGGACACACGAGAGGCAGCCTGAGCATGAAATGGCACCAGCTTCACTGTGGGGAGCGCGGTGTTGCGCGCACTTCTGCTCCCTTCTCATGCTCCCCTTCTCTCCAGGGGACCGCATGGCTCCCCACGTGTCAGCGTACAGTAGTGGCATTCTGCCGCACAGGTGTGGCACGATAAGCTGAAGCACGTTTACATGTTTTCGGCGCGGGTGCCAGAAAGCTGTACTAATGTAACATTCTGAATCCAGGTGCTACTCCCAACTGCGAGCCTGGTTCTCACAGCCAGGCCTGGGACCCACACAGTGCCACAGACTTTCTTTGTGAAACACGCTCGGGATTGAGTCACACCAGAGGTGACCATGGTGTGGTCTGCCACTCTGACTGGCACAGGTGACACCTTGGTGTGATGCTCTTCCTGAGGTCCCTCCTGTGCTCACAGCCACCACCTTCCCTCCTAGGCGGCTTGTTTTTAAAGTGGCTCTGGTGGCCCTGCCCCCGGCATGGGGGTTGGGGAGGACACAGAAGCCTGGGTTTGCCGTCCGTGTGACCGCGGAGGCTTCCCTGAGCCCAGGTTCAAGGAGAGGACCCATGTGTCCTCCATTCTCCCCACCCCCGCCCTGTGCGGTCTGCGGGCAGGGTCAGTGTCCGAGGAGCCCCCCTATTGGCACCCCACACCCCGACTCCTGTGAATGGGGCCGGACCCACTCGCCCAGGGCCTTGCCTGAGAGACTTGGGGTGTAGCAAACTCCCCTTTTCCTTCGTCGTCTCCGGGAGAGAAAAGATGCCTGCTGGGCCAGTGACTTCACACTGTGGGACGTGGGACCGGCCTCTCGTGGAAGGAGGAGCCACGTTCTCTCTCCAGTTTGCATGGGATGGTAAAGTCACAGCTGCGTCTGATGCGATGACACGCCGCCGTGCGGAAGGGACGATGTCCTTCATTGCTCGGTTCTTTATAAGGAGTCGCTGGCTGACTGCAGAGGAGCCGGCGGCCGCGGGGCCACTCACACCCGCTCTGTTTCAGGAAGCGGCCGTGTCGGCGCTGGCCGCCCTCTGCAGCGAGTTCTGCACGCAGGAGCCAGGGCAGGCGGGGCCCGCGGGGCTTGGTGAGTGGCCCCTGACCTCGGGCTGGGGCTTGTGCATGGGGGTCCTGGCACGGTCACCCGAGTGCACAGAGCGTGGTGAGCCGTGGACGGCAGTGGTCTCCCTGTCCCTGCTTCTTGTCAGGCGGCCTGGTGTGGCAGTGTCTCGCAGAGCTCCAGAGCCCAGAGGAGATGACACGCTGTGGCTTCTCACTGGCCCTGGGCGCCCTGCCCGGCCCCCTGCTGAAAGGTGTGCTGCGGCAGGTGAGGCGGCCTGGGAACTCGGGCGCGGGCGGGAGCCGGGCGAGCCCGCGTTCGTGGTCGGGAGGGGTCCCTGGAAACCTCGTGGCCGCGGGGGTGGGGGGAAGGGAACGGCGGGGCGTGTGGCCGAGGTCCTGGGGGCCTTGTGTGGGAGGATGGGTGCAGACATGGGGGAGTGGCATCCCGGTCTTAGCAAGGGACTTTTTGTTGGACATGGAGACCGTCCCCTTGTCCTGCTGGTGAGGACGCTGGTTCTGCTGCAGGGGCTGTGCCCCGATGTCCCACCCAGGGGTCCTCTGGGCAGCACGTCTGACCCCCAAGAGAGTGTCACAGAGCCCACCTCCGTGGGCCCTGCCCTTTGTCTCCAGCGCGGGTGTCTTGCACTGCGTTTCTGTCACAGCCTGAGGGTGGCCACCTCGGGAGGACAGGTGACCCGTCAGTTTCTTGCACCACGGGGTACCTCACCCTTCACGGGGTGGTGGCCTAGGACAGGGCAGGGCAGAGCTCTGCCCTGGATGGGACTTGGAGTGGCCATGCGCACTGCAGAGCCCGCGTGTGATGGGCCGCCTGCCCGGATCCTGCTGTTTGTACTGTGGAGGCTGAAGACGCATCCTCTGCCACCAGCTCCCCGTGCAAGCGCGAGCAGAGGGGGCGCGGGCTCATCGTCAGCCTCAGGGGAATGGCTAGGTGGCTCTGGGGTGCAGGCCTCATCCAGAATGAAGTGATGGAGCCCGCACCCCCTGCGAGTACCCTTCCCGCCTGGACACTGAGCCAAAGCTCCACTGCGTGGACAATACAGTCATCTTGGCCGATGGGCCGCTGATGACCGCCGTGGCTTTCCAGGTCCTAACAGGCTTAGGAGCTGTCACCCAAATTTCCCCTGAGGACGTGAGCTTTGCCGAGTCCAGGAGGGACGCCTTGAAGGCCATCTCCAGGTGAGTCCGCCCATGTCCCCCCATTCACTGCGCCCTCCAGCCTCCCAACCCTGAGGCCGGGGTGTTCGCGGGTCGGGTGGCGAGTCTGCTGAGAGGCAGCCCTTTTCTCTAGTTCCTTCTGAGGAGACACACCTGGCCCTAGGGGCTCATTAGCGGTTCCTCCCAGACGTAGCACCTGTGGGCCAGCCATGTCGTCACTTCTCTGTGGGGAGCTGGACCAGGGCGGGGGAGGAGGAAGGGACGCGTGAGGGTGGCCACTGTCCTTGTCACAACGCGCACGTTGGACGCCCTTTTTTCTCTCTCCCCGAGAGCGCACCGGAGCCCACGAGCCTCCCGTGCACTGTCACCGTCCCCGTCTCGCCAGGGCAAAGAGCTGCAGGGACTCGTGTCTTTCGAGCGGTAGACACGAGAAAACGTGCTCAGCCTGTCACCGGGAGGCACGCTGGGACCGCACTGCGGCTGAGGGTCCCGTGCGTGTCCGTCAGGAAGGACGCATGTGGGGACGCGGGGGCCAGTCGGACGGGACTGGTCGTGAGCTGTTCGCACTTTCAATTCCAGGGTTTGCCAGACGGTCGGTGTGAGCGCGGAGGGCACCCCGGACGAGGTTGTGTGCAGAGCCAACGTCCCGCAGATCTACTGCACGCTGCTGGGCTGCCTGGGCGACTACACCACCGACAGCCGTGGGGACGTGGGCGCGTGGTGAGGCCGGCTCCCTCCGCGTCTCGGTGCCCCCAGGTCGGAGGCGGCTCCCCCTTCGCTGCCTGTGGCCCCACGTTCAGCATCGCTTTAGCCCGGGCCCCCTCCCATCGCTGTCCTCCCTGGTCCCTTCACTCTCGGGAGAGCAGCATGTCCTGTGGGCCAGGGTCTCGCGTGTGCACGTTTCAGTCTTTACCGAAGGAAACGCGCTTCATGGCGTCCCGGCCCTGCCTCCCTGTCCTGGTCCCGGCTCGGCCACATAGTGCCAAGGCCCCCAGCCGCTGGCGGGGTGGGGGGTACGGGGGGCCCTGCAGAGTCCAGCCACAGGCCACAGATTTCAGTCTGGGAGAAGGGCTCAAGCTGACCGGTTCCCCGGGGACCCCCACAGGACGGCTGTCAGTGGAGGGGTGTGGGCCGCTCTCCGCAGCCTTGCTGTTCAGGAGGCCCCCACCTGCCACCAGGAGCACCCCGTGGCCGCTGGTGGGAGGGCCCGGGAGGCCCCTCCAGCTTGTGTCAGAAGCACCCGGCTCTCGGTGGTTGTCCCTGGCGCTCCCTCTCGGAGACGCACTAACTGCGTAAAGCACGGCGTGTGGCGGGGCTGCCGTGGCGTGCAGACGGTCCCTCTCTGGTGACGGAAGCGAGCGAGGTTTCGTCAGAGCCCAGTGGGGTGAGGTGTGCGGGAGCTCGTCGTTCCGTGTGTGGCTAGTTCCGGCCATCGTTTGCTTCGTTCCACACGTCTTCCCGTCACCTCGTCGGGGACCTGCATCTGCACGGACGGCCTGCTCTGGGCGCCTGCGGCTCCCCGGTGGGTGCGGGCAGCACAGCTCAGGCTCCATGGTGCCCTGGCCTGGCGCCGTGTCGTCCGGGGGGCCTCTGCCTTCACGGTTTCGTGGGGAGGGTTCCAGTCGGGTCTTTGCTCCTTCGCTGCGTCTGCTGGCCTGTCCACCTTGTTCTCTTCCGTCCGGAGTGTCCCCCTCGCCGCACTGGCTGTGTCCTTTTCCAGGCTCGTCCCCAGCTGGCATCTGGGGCTCGGCCCACATGCGCCTCGTGACCTTGGGTGGATGCAGGCGGGGCTCATCTGTCACCTAGGAACCTCAGGTCATCCCAGCGGCAGTGGCATGGGGCACTTGGGGCACCCCGGCCTGAGGACAGCATAGCTCTGCGGCCCCATCTCCCCGGACAGGCCGCTCCGGGGCTCGCTGGCCACCCTGCAGGGGCCGTGCGTGCTTCCGCAGTCTGTGCGATGCGGGAGGCTGCGCGCACTCGCAGGCCCGTCTCCTCCGGGGCCGGGGGCTCTTCGGCCACAGCGGGCCATGTCTGGGGGCAGGGCCGTGGCCCCATCCTGCCTCGTTGTGGAGCCAGCCGCGCTCCTGTGTGACAAGAGGCTCCTCCGCTCTCGGGGCCCCGGTTGTCCCAGACGCCACCTCGGTTTGAGACGGGAGGGTGGCAGGGTTCACTGCGGTCTCAGCTGCTGCCGTGGGGGCCGTCGAGCTCGTGAAACGGGGAGGAAGGCGCCCCGGGCTCCGGTGGCGCTGCGCACCTTGCTGACAGGTGTCCACGTGCCGGTCAGAGCCCCATCCTGGGACCCTCGAAAGCAGAGGGCGGGTCTCGGTGTGGCGGTGTGGGGGCCTTTCCAGAGATTCTCATTCTCCGTAGAAGATTCTCGTGTTTTTTATTGTTTTTTGTACCTTTTGCTTTTATTCTTTAGCGTTTATTTTAGCATTTGGTCTTTTATTTTTTATAGTATTTTCGTTTTAGCTAAGTCTAGAAATTGCGAGTTCACAACTGGGGGCTTTGGGATATTTTCTCACACAGGTGTCAGGCCCGTTTGGTGTGGCAGGTCACCATGTGCCCTTAGGGCTAGGGTCAGGCCAGCCCTTAGCCCACCTGTCGCTCCTCCTGCACGAGCCCCCTCCCAGCTGCCAGCTTCTGGGAATTGGAGCTTGAGCATCGTGCAGGGAGGGACCCCCAGCCTCTCCCTGCGGGTACTGCGCCCACAGAGGCAGGGTCCACGGGGGCCACTCTGTCCTCCCTCGGTCTGCGGCCTCCAGTCTTGTGTCCGCAGCAGCAGCTGGCTGGCGGCCACACCCTGGCGTCTGAGCCCCTCCCACTCGCGTCAGCCGCAGGCTCGTGCCCCTGTCCCCACACTCAGGTGCGGCTCCTGTGTGCGGCGGGCACTCCTTGGCGGGAGGGTGGTTGCTCCAGCTCTGGGTGTCCCTGCTGGCCCCGGCGACACGGGGCTGTGGCGTCCGTGGTCCCTGCTGCCCAGTGAGTCCCGCCTGGCTGTGCATCGTTCCACTTTCACCCCGGAGCTGAGCCGTAGTGTGACCTCAGCTTTGCGCGTTGTGTGAGGTCGTGCCCTTCCGTGGGTGACTGTGACAGGTTGCTCAGAGTGGACAGTGGCCCTGGCTGGGAAGCACCTGGCAGCTGTGGTGGGTGCTGTGCTATGTGTGTGTCCACCCGTGAGGAGCAGGACCCGGGGGCTAGACATCCACGGGAGGGCAGGGCTGGCCCTGCAGGCGATGTGTCTGGGACCTGGCTTCCAGGTGTTAAGCCTGCGTCCTCGTCCGACGTGTCATGAGAAAGCACTGCCAGGGAAAGGCCGTCACTTGCCCGTGCTGTGTCACAAACAGGTTCCCCCCGAAGCACGCAGTTCAGTCTCTGAAACTTGCCCTTTCCGCATGGCTGACGGTCACCTGTCACTGAGAGGCGGTCCCCTCAGGCCCTCCTTGTCCCCGCAGGGTCCGCGAGGCCGCCATGACCACTCTGATGGACGTGACGCTTCTGTTGGGGAGGGAGCAGCCGGAGCTGATCGAGGCTCCCATGTGAGTGTTCTTGCCCCGGCCCCCTGTGCGTGACGAGGGTCTGTCCCCTCCCTGCCTCCTGACCGCAGCGCAGGGCTCCCGCGGGGCACAGGCCAGTGGGAGGACAGCCGTTGGGGCACGGCCAGGCCCGCTTCTCTGCTTCCTCCCCCTGGGAGCCGTGGGCCCCTGTCAGTCCCCCGAGGTCTCTGCGGAGCCCCCGCCCGTGCTTCTCCCCCTCCCCCCCGTTCCCCCGTCTGTCGTCGTCCTGTTCTCTGCCTCCTCAGTCCCTGGGCCCAGTCTGTGCTCACTGTGGCCTCCCGCCCTCCTGTCCAGGCTTCTGGGTGCCAGGTCAGTTGTGCCGGGGGCCCTCACGGCTCGTGGCTGTGTGCACGCCGAGGTGCCCTCAGGTGCAGCCGTGCTAACGCTGTGTGCTCTGGCTTTGCAGCTGCGAGTGGGTCATGTGCTGCCTGGCCCAGCAGGCGAGCGAGAAGATCGACCGGTACCGTGCGCACGCCACTCACGTGTTCCTGACACTGCTGCACGCCGCCGGCCCCGCCGGCCCCATCGTCCCCCACGTGCCGCACCGGGGCGACCTGGAGAAGCTCTTTCCCAGGTACTGGGGGTCTGTCGGATGGTTCCCGGCCGGGCGGCAGGCTCCCTCCAGCTGTGGCTGTCTTGCAGGTCCGAGGTGGCGTCTGTGAACTGGAACGCGCCGGCCCAGGCCTTCCCCCGCATCACCCGGCTGCTGGCGCTGCCCTCCTTCCGCTACCACGTGCTGCTGGGGCTGGTCGTGTCCGTGGGTGGCCTGACGGAGTCCACGGTGAGCGAGTGCCCGCCCGCCTCCTCCTGGGCCCTCGGCGTTTTCTGGACAAAGGCCGTGTTGGGTGGGCGTCTGCCTGGCAGCGGATGATGTGGATGATCTACTGGGCACAGGTGGCGCCTGGCGCTTCCCAGCTGGGAGCCTAGGGTGGGCTGCGTGCCCCACACACTGCCGCCTCCCTCGTCAGTTTCGTCTCGGAGGAATCGGAGGAAGTGGGGCCGGGGCCACCCCCGCCCGTGAACGTGGGAACTCAGAAAGTTCAGAGACACGCAGAGCACGCAGAGCCCAGCGTCGCGCCGCACCCGTGTCCCGCCCGCCTCGGCCGCCCCTCGCGCCCCCGCCTGACGCCCTTGCCAGCTGCCGCTTTGCGCCTTTCTCGGGGGCCTTTTCTCTGCCACGCGCTCTGCCTGCCTTTCGTTTGCGTCTCTCGTCATCTCCCTCTGCTGCTTGGTCACCTGCTGTCACCGCTTGCTCTTACCGGGACCCGACCACGTGGAGCCGCCCGCCCGTGTCTTCACCCCTCACACCTGGCCGTGCCTCTCACCGTCTTCAGTGTCCCACATCTGCTCTGACGAGTCCAGCCGGGGGCTCTGTTTCTGGCTCCGCGGCCTCCGGGTTCTCGGCCCCCATCCCGCGTGTCTCACCTGTCCCTGCTTTTGTCCACATTCCGGCCCCCCCCGCTTCTCAGACCCCTTTCCAGGAGCTGTGGTCTCTGCAGCTCCGTCTTATCTGCCACTTGTCCCTCCCCCACTGGGGATTGGGTTTCGTGGTTACATTTTCGTTATCAGACGTCCTGAAATCTGTTTCTCCTGCTTTTTCACCCAGTGCTCGTCTCTGTTTTTCCTTTGGGGATTAGCGCGTGGTGCTCTCTGGGTTCTGTGTCTTGTAAGTCTGGCGTCTGCAGCAGGAGGCAGGTCTGAAACTGCACTGATGCTTTTGTGACCCTCTCGCAACCTGCCCAGTGGCTCTGTGACTGGGCTCGGTCCCCCGGGGGCGGCTGCTCCTGCTTTGCTCTGGCTCCTGCAGCAGCCGGTCAGTTCCCTGGCCACAGGGCTCGACAGAGCCGGTGTCTCAGATGCCACCTCTCTCCCTGCCAGCTCGCGGGGCTGGCGTCCAGCCTCAGGGTGACCCTGGATGCTTGCAGCTCGCAGCTCTAGCTGCCCCCGTGCAGGTCATGCATGGCGGGGTCTCCAGGCCTGGCTGTGCGTCCCTTCCTTCTGTTGCTCGTGCGGTGTCTGTGGGATGGCCTGAGCCCAGGTGCCCCGGTCTGCTCAAGCGTGGAGTGGGAGGGCTTCAAAGCGTCTGCTCATGACGCCAGGGTCTGGTATTGTCCTACTTTCAGTGGACGCTGTCGGCCGTGTCTGCTGAGGTCGCCGTGCACGTTTGTGCCTCCCTGCCAGGCGTGTACATGGTGCCCCCCGTGTGCGCAGCCTGGCTGGGCACCGTAGACCCCCATGCTGTGGCTCAGTCTCCATCGGGACAGGCGGCAGCTCCGTGCCACAAGGGCGTCTCTCTCACAGGTCCGGCACTCTACACAGAGCCTGTTTGCTCACGTGCGGGGCATTCAGGAGGACCCACGGGCCCTGGAGGACTTTGGTGGCACCCTCCTGCGGGTCTTCGAGGACAACCTTCTCAATGACAGGTCAGCAGTGGTTCTGGTGCTCAGCCCCAGGGCCTCGGGGCGGGGCGGGCACAGGCGAGGACACAGACTGAGACAGAGCGAGGGGGCTGTGCACGTCAGAAGGAAAGGTGACGGTGGCAGCGTGCCCGTGGTGCCCCCCGAGGTGGGGCTCCCCGACACATCGCACTCGACCCGATCTCGGGTGAGCGCTGGGCGAGCTGGCCTGCAGCGTCGCTGCTCGTCCCTGAGGGCGGAGCGCGGACCCCAGGCCCTGGGCTCAGAGCAGGGACGTTTGCTGCAGCCCCGAGGGTCGTTGTTCAGTTCTCGGCGGGCTCCAGGCAGCGGGACAACAGCGTGGCCGCAGGTCCCACTTGAGGCCCTCGGTAGCCGTGGCCGTGGGAAGCACACACGCGCCTCCAGGCGAGCGGAGGCTCAGGCCGTGGCCATTCCCAGGGAGGCGCGGGTGACGTGCCGTGACACGCAGGGCAGGCTGCTGTCAGCACAGTGAAGATGAGCCCATCGCACCCCTCGTTCCCGGCCCCCCTGACCCCGCCACGCCCTGCCCTGGGCGAGTGCGGTGCTCCCACTCTGCCACCTGGTCCAGTGGCTTGCGCCGGGGCCCCTGCTCGGGTCTGGTCCTGGGGTCCGTGTGCTGACGGAGTCACCGCCTGCGCCGCCGAGCGCTGTGCTGCGGGTCGTGCCACGGGCTCTGCTCGCCCGTGAGGGCACCGGGCTGTTCCCAGCTGAGGCCGCTACGAATGGAGCCCTGACAGGCGTTCGCGTCCAGGCTGTGTGGACGTTGCTCGTCGTCCTCCGGGGTGGCTGCCAGGGGTGCACTGGCTCGGCCCTGTGGTGGGCGAGTATTTAAGATTTCAAAAACTGCCAACCGTCGTCCACGGTGGTCGCACTTACGTTTCTGCCGACACCGTCTGCGTGGCTCAGGCGCCCGTGTCCGCACCCAGCCTGCAGTCCCTGCCGGGTCAGCCCTGTCACCGTTGCCGTTCCCACGGGGTATGGCGACGCGCTGTGGCTTTCTGCGCATTTCCGTCCTGACTGGGGTGCGGGCACCTTCTTGGGGCTCACCGGCTGTCGGGGCGTCCTGTGTACCGACCTGTCTGGATGTTTTTGCCTGATGTTCACTCCCTCTTGCTGCTCACTTCTGGGTTTTCTCGCACGTCGTGGAGCAAGCTGTCGCCACGCTGGTCATTCTGCCCCCCCACCCCCGCCTGCTCCCCGTCAGTCGCTCTAGCCCCGGTGTTGCCCGCACAGCTGTCAGAGGCTGGGACTCGTCCGCTCTGACCTGTTCACTGTCGTGTTGGAAGTGGGGCCGCGTCCCCTTCCGGCTCTTCCCTCCCGTGGCGCTTGTGGCCTTTCTTGGTCCTTTGTGTTTCCGTGTGACTGGCAACGGGCTCCCCATTCTCTACAGCTCTCCCCCGTGGCCGTGACTGGGCCATCTCGGGGACTCGACGTCATCACGGTGTGGCTTTCCCCGCTCCACGCGTCCCGGTCCTCCCTCCCTCCCATGTGGCGGCACCTGGGTCTCACAGCATATCCTCTGCCCGCAGGGTGTCCGTGCCACTGCTGAAGACGCTGGACCAGATGCTGGCTAATGGCTGCTTTGCCATCCTCACCACGGAGGACGAGTGAGTGCGTTCGCTGCGTTCGCTACTTTTGCCGCTTAACTTGCCGCTGGCCTCGTCAGGAGACCCTGATCAGACCCCGGGCAGAATCGGGGGGCCTCTTCCAGTGTTCAGAGTCATGCACAGTGAAGGCTCCCGTGAGGCTGGGGCTGGGCGGTAGCGGGACAGGAGGGTCCAGTTTGGGGGAGTCCATCTGTGGCACCAGCTGTGCAGGTGAGAGGTAGAGCAGGGGACGGGGCCTGGCGGCTGGACCAGTTGTGGACGGGGCAGCAGACAGGTAACCGGGGAAGGGAGGTAGACTGGGAGGGCCCCGTTGCCAGGACGACAGGGAGCAGAGGGACAGCACAGCCACAGGAAGCGGGCTGAGTTGGGAGCGCGTCACAGTGGTGCCATCCGTGCTACGTGCAGAGCAGTCACGCAGGGCAAGGGGAGCGACATGATGGTCACTTGGTTTCTGACAGGCGTTTCAGTGAGTTGTGGGGTGAAGAGCCAAGCTCAGAGAGGGGTGGGGGCCGGAGTCTCACACACAGACCACTGAGTGACGGGGCAGCAGGGGTGGGGCGGGACCTCGGGGACAGAGGTGACAGCGAGGTGAGAGGTCTGAAGTCCCTTTTATCCCAAGACAACAGGAGAATGGCCACAGGACTATTTTTGGTCAAGGGAGTTGCTGTCAGACCTTGAAATAGCAGTGACCAGTGCAGTCGTCGCTTCCGTCCGTGGTGGGGAGTCTGTCCTGTGTCTCTGCCCAGGGTTCCGGCGAGATGAATTTAGGGCCCCCCCACAATATCCAGGGTCACCCGAGGGAAGAGGGGCACAGTGTCACTTGGGCTGACGTGTCTCAGGGGGCCGGAGTCTCACACACAGACCACTGAGTGACGGGGCAGCAGGGGTGGGGCGGGACCTCGGGGACAGAGGTGACAGCGAGGTGAGAGGTCTGAAGTCCCTTTTATCCCAAGACAACAGGAGAATGGCCACAGGACTATTTTTGGTCAAGGGAGTTGCTGCCCATGCTGCGTCCAGAACTGGCCTGGGGCAGGGTCAGTGGAGCCTGTGGTCGTGGCACCACAGATGAGGAGTGTGTCCATGTCGCTGGCCTTGCTGCCTTGGCCTTATGCCCAGCTGACTGGCCGCTCAGCCTCTGAGTGCAGAGTCGGGGGCAGGGGGCGGGACGTGTGTGCCGGTCCCTCGACTCCCTGACCCTCCACTCCCTGACCCTCCTTTGATCCTGCGTGGAGCCTGGTGGAGTCACAGCACACACTGGGCCAGGCGCTTGCTGCTGCGTGATGGGGGCCAGCCACCGGGGTATGCAGTGGGGGTGCCCCCTGCCCTGCGGGGCCCCGAGGGCTGGTGGAAAGCTGGGTCTGTCCCCTGCTACGCCTGTCGAGGAACCCGTCCAGGTGACCTGGCACGGCATCCCTGAGGGACGTGGCCTTCTGGTCATCAGGTTTCAAGCTGCAGGCACGAGCTGCCCTTGGAAGCTCACACCAGCACCCCACGCCTCTCTTGCAGCCACCCCTTCTGCGTGCGGCTGCTCGCGCTCTGTAAGGAGGAGATCAGGAAGTCCAAGGACGTCCAGAAGCTGCGGTCCAGCGTGGCTGTGTGAGTCCCAAGTAACCACTGAGAGTGCCGGGCGGGACGGCCGGTGGGGCTGCCAGATGCAGCGTTAGTGTGACCTCACCGAGGCCGCGAACGGTCGTGTGTCCTGGTGTCAGTGGAGACCGATTGTGGATAAGCCGCTGGCCATCGAGGGCTCCTGTGTCCTGGTCTGCAGGGAGGGCACGTCCCACGGGCGAGCGTCCCCTGAAGCTGCCCAGCTCCCGACACTGGCAATCGGGACCGCTGGGCGAGTGGTCTGGACGCTTCAGTTGGCAGTGGGCGTGGACGCTGAACCCGGGGTTGCCATGGTGCTGGCCAGTGGCCGGGGCCCACTGACGCCCACCGGCCCCGCAGGTTCTGTGAGATGGTGCAGTTCCCGGGCGGCGTGCGGAAGAAGGTGCTGCTGCAGCTGCTCCTGCTGCTCTGCCACCCGTTCCCTGTGGTGAGTGCCACCCAGGGCTCCCGGCGTGCAGGGACACCAGTGTGGCCAGCAGCCCGCCCGGGGTTCCCCAACATGACGTGCTGGTGCCCGGGTCCGGACGCCGGTGCTGGCTGTCCTGGTGCTTGGGTGGGGGCCGCAGAGTGGACCCCGGATCTGAGTGGGGGCGGGGGCTCCTCTGCTGCCCATGAACACTGTCCGGTCCAGGTCCGCAAGACCACAGCGAGCCAGCTGTACGAGATGGTGCTCACCTACAGCGACGCCGTGGACGCCGACGTCCTGGACGAGGTCGTGGCTGTGCTCGGCGGCACGGCCTGGTGAGTGGGCCCTTCCTGTTCTCCGTGCAGGTCCGCGGGGGACAGGGGCGTCCCAAGCCTGTTGCTGTTCCCCCTCCTGTCCCCACAGTTCCCCAAGACCCCAGGGGGGAGAGGAAGGTGAGGCTGCCAGCTGGCCTCACCTCAGCACTGGGGTCACCCGGGGCAGTGGTGGTTGGAGTGGAGCCTCCCTCGTCACCTGCGTGTCCCTGTCCTGGAGCGTAGGTCACTCCCTCCCCGCAGAGGCGCGGGGCAGCCTGGCCTGGGGGTGGGGGTGCCCCTGGGACGCTATCGTCTCTGTGCGGAGGTGGGTCCTCCCGACCCACATGGGCCAGGGCTGAAATGAGACTGGCTTTTCCTTGAGCGAACCAGTAGCTGACACAGGACACACTTCCTGTTGGGTTGTCACCTCACAGTGGTGCAGGGGCATGCGCTGCATCAGGTTCTGACACGTTCGGCTGAGAAAGGACAGTGAACGAGGAGGGGCCCGAGCCCCCTGTGCCCAGGGCTTCTGGTCCAACTTTCCCGCTCCGTGTCTGGGCCTCGTTCCTTATAACTTCATTCCTTGCTGTTTAAAAAGAAAAACTTAAGAGAATTTGAAAATGCTGTTTATTACACGAGAAAAAGCCCCAGTATTTCTGCATGGTGTTGCTAAATTCAACTTTTATCTTCAGTGAACACAATAAACACATTTAAAATCACAACTTATAAAGCAGCCCACGTGCTGAGAGTCAGCCCGTGCACCTGAGCAGGTGGTCCCCGCCCCTCCACGCCCCTCTCGGCCCCTGGGCCTGGGGCTGAGCCCCTGCAGTGCAGGAAGGGCAGGCGCAAAGCCCTGGGCAGAGCCCCACCTGAGCTGGGGGGCCTGGTGCCTTGAGGTTCCCACACATGCCGGGGCCACTGCGGGTTCGGGGTCCCGGCTGCTGCAGCAGTTGCAGACTTCCTTGGGCCTGACGCCACTCACACCCCTTCCCCAGGGATGCGGAGCTCCCGCTCGTGAGAAGCCAGAGGAACCGCCTATGCGACCTCCTGGGAGTGCCCAGACCCCAGCTGGTCCCCAAGGTAAGTGCACGGGGACACCTGGGGCCATCGCCACTGTGGCGGTCGGAGGTGCCAGCATTGACCCAGCTCTGACGTGCGTTCCCTAGTGCGGGTGAACAGACCCCTCGTGCCCAGTCTGCTGCTTCTGAGTGTCCCCACGGCCACTTCCTTGGACACACGTGCACCTGGGGACCGTCAGCACACAGGGCCTCCTGGGGCTGCTGGTGTCTGCCCACGGAGCCGCCTCATCGACGGTGCGTGCGTCGTGACCGCGGGGCCCGCTCCCTGTCCCGGGTGGTCAGCAGGAGACCCAAGTCCCATGTGCACTTAGCGGACGGTCGAGCTCAGCCCGTGGGTTCTGCAGCAGCCCAGGTGGCGGTCACAGCAGCATGCACTGTGATTTCTGGGGACCAAGCAGATCCTCTGCCTCGCCCCCACATTCTCGTCCTTGTCCCCACGGGCTGTACCCTCACACTGGAGAGGCCGGCTTTGAACTCCGGCCCTGCAGAGGCTGAGCTTTGTGGAGGAAGAAGTCCCCTGCAGAGTGGGTGCTGGTCACTGCGCACCCACGCAGCCCACACCAGCTCTGCCGTGGGGCCGCCACACGAGCCTGGACTCCAGGGAGGCGCGTCCGCACAGAGGGGCTGGCCATGTGCGTTCCCAGGGTCATGCTGGACATGATGGGTTGCAGTCTCTGCGTTTCCAGGCCATCGGTGCCACGTGGATGTCCTCGGTGGTGGTGTGCACCCACTGTAGGCTCAGATGGCTTCCGGCCCAGGCGGCAGCCCCACCGTCCAGCCCTGTCCTCCCCCATTGTCCTGTGGACTGCGTTTGAGACGCTTGGCGACGCCAGGGTTCTCTGTGGTCCCCCCCTTGCCCAAGAGCTGCGCAGCCCACCTGGCATTGGGCTCTCAGGGCCTGAGGGGTCAGCGGGCGTGTTCTCCACACGCACAGCTGGCTGGTCCACTCTGGCAGTGCCATCACCACTGTCCTAAGTCAGCGCAGCGCCCACACGGCGGCTCTCGGGAGTCTCCATGCCCTGTGGGTCCCTTGTCCATCGGTGACAGGAGTGGGTCACGTGTCCTAGAGACAAGTGTGGATCTCAGGACGGGTCACGACACCGAGCTGTCTTGGTTCGCTGGTTTCACTTTTTTCGAGGTTGTCTTGACTCTCCGTGGCCCTGTGGGTCCCCGTAACACCTGTGGCGTTGGCTCGTCACTTGCACAGTGAAGCGCCAGGCACTTGGCTAAGGCTGCTTGGTGCGCCTGGAGGTCACTGGTGAGAAGTGACGTGTCTGACCGTGAATGTGCCGCCTCGCCCAGCTGTTCAGGGATGCTGAGTGCTTCACGCCTCGTGGGGAGACACGTGGCCCATCTTTGTGTGGTCATCTCAAGTCCTCGCCTGTCCTCTCCTTTCCTCTCTGCGTTTCGTCCTGGGGAGTCTCCGCTGGCCCATGTCCGTGCTCACCGACCTTTTCCTGGGCCGTGTCTGGTCTTGGGAGCCTAGCAAAGGCATTGTCATCTCTGCCAGCGTCCAGTCTTGAGCCCTTCCTTCCGTCCTTTCTTAGGGTTTCCAGTTCAGCTGATACGGGCCGTCTGTTTTGCTCGGGTCCACCTGCCCGCTGAAGCCCTTGGCGTCCAGTCCCACGTGTGTGAAGCTTTGTTTGTCTGGGAGCCGCTCTGTTCAGTATTTGCAGCTGCAGTTTCCAGATCTTTGACCTCTGTCCTGGTCCCTGACTCTGGGGACCCGTGTGTTCTCCTGCACCCTTGTCTTTGTGTCTTGAGGTCCCTGCGTCATCCTCTTTGGAATGTGTCTTACAGCTGGACCCTGGTCACGATGCCGGAGCGCTGTGGGTGGGGGGGCATCCTGTGAACTGGCCCCCGGTGGGCCTGGGTCTTATGTGGCTCGGTCAGCGCTGCTTCCTTCCCTGGCCACCTCGTGGAGCTCTGAGCCACTCGCTCCCTCTAGTCCAGCTGGAGGGGAGAGGAGGTCTCTGTGCTGGAGACGGCCTGGTGGTGACTGTCCCCTCCCCAGAGTGAGTGCCCTCAGGATGCAGTGCCCAGTCCCTTGCTCTCAGGCCAGTTCGTACTTGGCTGCATCTGCCCCCCAGGTGCGGGGGTGACCTCAGCTGTGATGAGACCTTGAGCACAGCCTTTTCCTGCCAGGCCACACTCCTCTGTCCTGTTCTCGTCCTCACCTTCTGTGACGCCCTGGATCTCTGTCCCTGGGTGCCTGACGCCGTCCTGGCGGGTGGCCCTCACTTGCAACACTGGGCTTTGTCTGCATTTGTGCCGACGTCCTGTGTTGGTGGCGTGGCCACCCTGGGCCCTTGCTTGTGTCCACGTGGTCCGTGTTTTCCTATCGCCGTCAGCTGCTGTGGGGTCGTGTTCGCACGGGCCTCGTCAACGACTGCTTAGGTCTGATCCCTGTCTATCCAGTTTGACGACCTTTCACTGGAGTGTCCACTCACGTTTCATGTGACGTGGGGTCATCCAGGCTCCTACCCATTTTCCTGTTCTTTTCTGACTCTACCGCTCGTCCCCTTCCTCACCTGTCTGCATTTGGATTGATTCAAGGTGTCCTGTGTCACTGCGCGGCCCGCCAAGCCCTTGCCGCCATCTCCCTGCTGCTCTGGTTTCTGAGGTGCCGTCTTCCCCGTGCTCTGGCTGTGGGGCCCTGTGACCTACGTCCCCGAGGGCCGGGCACAGAGCCGCTGGCCGGGGGACTTGTGTTCGTTCTTGGCCTGCCTCCCACCAGCCCTCCTCTGTGCCCTGCTCACCCGTGAGTCCTCTCCTGTGGGCACCGGCGGTGACTTCTGAGGGACTTTCCATTCCCCTCCTGGTGCTGTTCCGGGGTCTACCCTGTAGATGCTCCTCCAGGTGCAGGGCAGGTGCTGATCTGTTCAGCACCCCCGGTGACACTGTGAGGGGCGGAGATGGCTGCCTGAGCACGTGACCACCCTGTTTCTTGTGTCAGGGCCAAATGCAGCGTCAGCTCCCCACGTGAACACGCTTTTGCGTTTTTACGAGGAAACGTGCACACGGACGGGTGATTAGACCAGTACAGAACCTCCAACTGAAGCGCTGTGTAGACTGTGTTAGCACAGGGCCCCTGGGACATGTCCTGTTGGAGATGGGGCTGCCTGGCTTGACTCTGTCATGTGTCCTCTGCAGCCTGCTGCCTGCTGAGGCCAATCCTAGGAGCTGAGCCCTGCCCAGCGGGGAAGAGCAGCCAACGGCGGTCAGCACAGAAACCCTGGGCGTAGCCTTGGCCAGGACGTATGCTGAGAGACTCGGCGCTTGTCACCGTGGATGCGGCTTTTTCCCCACACATGTCCTGCACTCTAGTGATCTGGGGCGATGAGGTGCTTTCTTATCCAGTCAAATGCAGGCCCATGCCTTATAAAGTCACGTGCTGAGCAGTCTGTGTCTGTGTGTGTGTCTGTGTCTGACACCGTCTGGAGTGAGGGTGACTGGTGGGGCCAGCTGTCCCGGGACAGCAGGGGACAGCCTTGTGCGGGGAGTAGGCTGGAGGCCAGGGGAGTCATGGGTTCCCTGCTGCTCTGCCGCTGCCTGCCCATACTGGGTCAGGGGGGTGGCCTGGGGTGGGGATGAGGCCTGGGACGGGCCGTCCGCAGCCTCCCGTGTGCTGTGCTGTTGTGGAGACAGTGTCCACTACAGGCCTTGGTCAGCATGGCCCGGCCAGTGATGTGCTCTTAGACTTACGTTAAAATGTCAGAGGCTTCGAGGGCAGGGAAGCCACCGCGCCTCGGTGGTGCCTGTTCCTGGCCAGCGTGCGGCTCTCACACATGTCTCAGGCTGCCCGCGTGGGTCTAGAGCAGAGAAAGCCGACCCGCATTTGTGGGTCTGCGTGCCGGAGAGCTGTGGCCAGGCGTGTGGAATGCCAGCGGGGCATTCATCCGAGGGGACGGCGTCAGCATGCTGTCTGGGGACCAGGAGCCCTGGACTGATGGTGTGCCTGGTCAGCCACGTCCTGCCCTCGGGTTGTGCGTGCAGGACACGTGCACTTTGCTGCTGCCTCCACGAGTCGATCTTTCCTGCTTGGGCCGAGCCACTGGATGTGCTGGACCTGGTGGCAAACAACTTTAACCCCCTGAAAGAGACAGCTTTTCGTGTGTTTTGTGAGGCTTTAACTGCATGGCTTCACTTTTATTTCATTTAAGCCTGAAAACACGCAGGGAGTTTTCTATTTCAGACGGAAGGTCAGCCAGACCTCTCGACTGGCAGATGTCACTCAGTGCGGGGTCCTAGGTGACCAGCCTCAGACCACGTGAGGCCACACTACAAGGTTCCACTCTCATGCCCACCAGGTACAGGGACACACAGCAGGTCGGGGAGGGGACACAGCCTGCAGAGCAGCATCTGGACCTTGTCTGCAGAAAACCACTCAAGCACCTTCTGAGAAATAGAATGAACCGTTTTTAGTGTGATTAATAAACGATTCCAGAGAAACGGCCTTTTGAGACATGGAAACAGCAGACCTGCCGATGACACTGTGTCGTGACAGTTCATTTCAATGCTGTTCTGACTCTGCAGCTCAAGGAAAACAGTCGATCCATTGATCAGCAGACAGTGTCCAGCAGCCTCTGCTCGCCTCAGCCACATCAGACCCCCGCTGGTCACCCCACTGGTCAAAGCAGTGCCTGCGAGCACCCACTTTGTGCAGCTGTGGTTGCTGGGTTCACCCGAGTGTTGCTGATGGTTTGGAGGGGGCCCCACATGCTTGTGATGTACACTGTCACCAGCAGCAGACAGCAGGCAGGCACATGTGCCACCGCAGTGACCTGAGTGCCAAGAAGCACGAGGACGCAGGTGGCCTCTGGGTGGTTCTGGGACGTGCGGCGGGGCGGACACGGCGGGGAGGAGCGAGCTCTGCTGGCGGGCCACGTGCACACCCACCGCCAGATGCGAAGCAGCGCACGCAGTCTCACTGGGCTGGTTGGGTGGCAGCGGTGGGCACGGTACCCACCCGCAGCACCAGGTGAGTGGGGACCAGGCCCACAGAGGGTGGGCAGGGCACTTCTGTGTCACGTGGGGAGAAGGCCCCCAGGGACATGCACTGCCACGTCGTCTGCAGACCCTCCTGTGCACGCCGGGGAAACTGGCCACCGACCAGCGTCTGCACAGCAGGCGGAAGGAGCGCCAGCCAGGGGAGGGGCGCAGCCGGTTCCCACAGGATGGAAGGGACGGACTTCACAGAAACGGGCGTCACCGGCCACACGCAGCACAGTCAGGTCCACGAAGACTTGACAGGTGCTCACCTGTGGAAGTGGCCAAGAGTCGGGGAAAGTGCTGAATGACGTGAACCACCACGTGGACACAGCTGAAGAGGGCCTGGAAGACCTGCAGAAATGACCTGAAGAGTGACAGGGACATGGAGGCCGAGTCGAGGGGCAGCAGAGTGCCTGACCGCTGTGATGTGAGTGTCCCTGTCTGCTAAGAGGCAGCGGTCCCCAGGTGCAGAAGCAGACAGCGGCATGAACGGCCGAGAACGCGGAGCTGCTGCTCAGGCCCCCATGGCCTGGCCAGCACACGAGCCCCTGCGCACTGCGAGGCCGTCCTCTGCTGCCTGAGCCCCTGCCCCACAAGTTGGGCTCACAGCCTCCACCCCACTTTGCATGGCCTTGTGTCTACGGCGCTGACCCGAGATGGACGCGTAGCCCACAGCACTGGATGTGGTGCAGGCCACCTCCGGGGGGCACTGAGCCAGCCCGACGCCAGCTCGTGGAGCAGAGGATGGGGTGGGTGACACACGAGGGCAAAGGAGCCAACCTGGGTCTCAGCCTGTGTGGCGTGTGCATGCTACATACGCGGGTCAGCGTGGGCCACAGTGCACAGCGTGAACGTCACCCCAGCAAGAACACGCTAGCGCACCCGCCAGCCACAGGGCTGGCCCCACACAGGACGCAGTGCGCTGCCTCTGGGCCCCACCCCCACCTGCACGTTCCCAGGGGCCCAAGGAGCTGTCTTCCCTACGGGTCCTCACTCCCGTCACCGCAGGACGGTCCCACGTCCCAGGGGGCCGCGCGTACCTGGGCATGGCCGCTGGCCGTCAGCTGAAGTGCAGGAAGTCCCGGCCCTCCCGTAGGTTCAGAGACTGCAGGTTGTCCTCGAATGCACCCTCTGTGAGGTCCTGCGGGAAGAAGGGCAGGTCCACCTCAATCCCAGCCTGAGGCCCCCTGGCTACCTGTCAAGTGTCCACTGTGGACTGCTCCACTGCTAAGACGGGGGGGCGGTCCTGGAAGGAGACAAGGCCAGAAAGGGAAACTGCAGGCAGTTAGCAACCATGTCCTGTTGGTCACTGATGGGGGGTGCAGATGGGTCCTCTGAGGTGTCCTCGCTCAGCCTGGCCCAGCTCCTCCCAGTAGAAGGCAGCTGACCCACCGCGGGGGCTTGAGGAAGGAGATGAGATTCTGGACAGTCCCCTCTGCTGGCCCCTTTGTAAACGGGGCAGATCCAGGTCCCCTCCTGACTGGCCTTGGAGCCCTGGCAGGCCCCACCCCCACTTATGCAGGGGACACGAACTACCACTCTACAGTCGGCTGCTGACGGAGCTCCCCCCTCAACCGTCCTTGCTTTGGAGAGAGGACTGAGACCCTGTGAGGACAGTCAGGACCCAGGAGGCAGGCCATCCAGAACCGACATGTGACCTGACCAGGTCCCTGAGCTGGTTCCAGGGTTGGTGCAGGACTTGGGGGCAGGTCCCTAAATCAGCATGGCCCGTGCATTGACTGGTGGTGGCTTTGGTGAGGACATCTCACCCCAGCCCTGTCCCCCTGCATAGGCCACGCAGGTTTGGGGACACCAGTGGGCTCCTGGCCCGTCCCTCACCCCAGGGCCTGCCACCCCGGCCCCACTGCCTCGGCAGCTTGGCTCCCAGAGGCAGCCGGCATGCCAGGCGCATCCTTGGCCCTCGCGGAGGTCCCAGTGCTGCTTGGCCACCACGTTCGTCCCCCTTGGGTGTCCGTCTGTCCTTGGGCCCAACGCGGAAGTCGGCCGGCCGCACACGCCCTTGGCCTGGGCCATCACTTGTCTCACCGCCCTGACTACTGGGTGTTGTACCAAGTGTTGAAATGAAACCACTCCACCTGGAAAACACCTGAAGTCCCCACATGCTGCCCTCTGCCTCCTGTCCCTCCTCGCCCCCTTCTCCCTGCTCCTGAGGCTTCACAGCAAACACTCCTGGGCTCGAGCCCCGAGTCCGGCCCAGAGATCACTGATGACAGCTGGCGGCCCGGGGCTTGCACAGGGGCCAGCGGGAAGGCGGGCCTGTCGTCGTCAGACTCCATTACAGTCAGATGCTTCTATGAACCGACGGGGCCCACCGAGGGAGGGGAAGGCCAGACGGACCCGTAACTCCGACAGTGGGACGTACACTCGCCACACAGAGGTCCCACAGACGAGGAAACCCACACCCGGTGACACAGGAAGGCTCTCGGCTGGTCGGTACTCAGACGCGTGTCAAAGCACAGAGTGCACCATGTCCCCAAACGGGGACCAACTCCAACCATCCAGGGGTGAGCCTGTGCCACCTGGGACCCACCCTGCCTCTGGGCGTGGCCCCAGCCCAGCCTCTTTGCTGGCTGTCATCTAGTGAGGACACAGCCACTCCCAGAGAGAGGGGAGGCAGGCATCAGGATGTCACGGTAGAGCCTGGGACCCGGCTCCCAAAGGCCAAGCTAGTGTGACAGTCACAGCTCAACGCCAAAATGCCAACCAGAACGGATAGCCGGCTTCACAGTCGTGACATGGAGACCAGCCCCTAGAGGACACAAGATCGCATTCACAGGGGTTACAGAGGAGGTGGGGTTAAACCGTATGGTTTTGAGTGCATACGTGTCACCACACTGAGGACAGTGCTGGGTGGCTGCTGCCCGGGCGAGATCTCCTCGCCCTGGACGGCAGCCCGTGTGAGCTCGTGCGGCACGTGCAGAAAGTGACGTTTGCAGAGCTTTTCTTCAAAGGCCAGATGGTAAATATTTCTGGGTTTGTGGTCATGACGCCATCTGCTCTAATAAAACTTTATCGACGAAAGCAGTTATTTCCTAAATATGTTAAGAGTTCAAGATGAACAAGTTTTTCAAAGAAGAAAAATGTGAGAAAGTTTCTGAAAACAACGAAGACAGACAAGCCTTACTGAGCAGTAAACGTCGCAAAACTGCAGTACATGGTGCTGGTTTTTGAGTGGGCAGGTCAGTGGGAAGAGACCAAGTGTCCAGGGGACACATGCCTGCTCACAGCCAGCAAGCGAAGACAGCACGTCACTGCGGGAAAGAAACAGACTGCTCACCGAAGGGCGAAGGACGTTGGGACAGCTGAGTATCCAAACAGAAAGGAAAGTGTGGATTCCTACTTTAATTTTTGTAACAAAATTCCAGTTGTATCAAAGGTATAATGAAAGAAATACAAGTCCAAGAAGCAGACTTGGAAAAAGTTTTTAAAAATCTCACCATGAGCAATCACTCTTAGAATAGATAAAACCCCTAAAGCTATGAAAAAAAATTTTTGATTGTCTCTAAATTGCAAAATGTCAATTTAGTCAAATGACAAAATTTGCAACATGTATCACGGACATAGGTTTGTTCTTATTCCATGAAGAAAGATACTGATGGGCCAGTAGAAAAGGGGCTGATGAAAAGGCCAGTTTACTCTAAGCGCGAGGGCCCTCCCGCCCCCAGCACAGCCCTGACCTGCTGCTTTTCACCTGCGACCTGCAAAGGGGTGGATTCGGTGTCACTGCTGGAGACGGGTCCCTGCTGGGAACACAAAGTGGACAGCCTCCAGGACAGTGGGATCAAAAAGTGACCGGCTCTGACCAGCAGCCCCTTGTGCAGCCGTCTGGACAAATCACAGGTACGTGAGATGCGGCATTATCTAAACAGCAGAGAATGGCCTGAAGGCGACTGGTCAGCAACTGGACTGTGAGGTATAAACATCCACCGACTGGGACGCAGGTGTTTGCAGACGAGGCGCACGAATCCCCCAGAGCCCCTCCTCACAGAGCCCTTCCCATCGACAGCAGAAGCAGGGGACAGTGACAGCGGCCACCCCTGGCCAGAGCCGCCCGCTTCCTGTCTCCCAGGGAGACACACATTGGACAAACGGCCACCAAGAGCCTTCTTCAACCAATTGTAAGAAAGGAGACACAAAGGTCACGTCTGTGCCCCACACGGAACTTAATGGGTTCCAACACGCCAGCTAGTGAGATCAACCGTATTTATAAGCAGTGGGGGACTTCACCACCTCAGGGACTTCTGGAGCTTTTGGGTGTGGCAGTGATGTTATGGGGTAGAATATGGGCTAGAATTTGCCTCAATACCGAGTGGGGGAGCTGCAGGACACAGCCGGCCCAAGGTGGGTGCATGGTTGCCATGGTAACACGGCTGGACCCGCTAGAAAGTTTCCTTAATGAAAACATACGGAGTTAGGTGGTGCTGATGGATTTATGTGGAATAATCTCCAAGACAACTATTATGTGAAAAAAGCAAAATACAGAAAAAAAATATAATATGCTGCTATTTAAAAAAGTCACACACACTTGTGTCTGCGTTGGCTACTTCTAGAAGAATTTGCAAGAAACAGGTGAGTACGGGTGCTCTGGACCCACCAGGGACAGTGGGTGACCGGGATGGCAGCCTGCTGACCTGCCCCATGATGCAGCTCCCTGACGCCCCGAAGCTGAGGACCCACCTGCGGTGTCTGAGTTTTTGACCCACATAAACAGGGCAATAAATGTGTGGTTTTTGGCTGAGTTTGTGGTGACTGGTTCTGTGGAAACAGCTGAATAACACAGGTTGCAGCTGGCAAAGGTCACACAACAAAACCCAGCATGGCAGGGGGTGGCCGCCGTGCCAAACGTCTGAGCCCAGGCCTAGTGAGGGTGACATCCTGCATCAGGACATGGCCGGGCCGGCCCCAGCACAGCCCTCAGAGGGCTGGGGCTACCGTGTACACGGTGATGAGCCGCTCTGAGAAATGCCAGTCAGTGCAGATGGGGACTGGGGCCCACAAGAGCCACCACTGACGCAGAGGGACGCCCCCTCCTCCACCCCGCCCGCCTGTCCTGGTCCCGCTGCACACACAGACGTCCTCGGAGGCCTGGCAGGAGGCAGGTGGAGCCGCACTGTGGAACTATGGGGCCACAGGGTCCCCGAGCACAGGGCGTGGTGTGCGGCTCCACGTGCAGTGGGGGCAGGAAGGCACATCCTGGTCACCTGTCTGCTACTAACTGGAGTGGACACCCATCCGCCTCCCTCCCGCAAACACCGCTGCCCCCCAGGAAGGCCCCTGGCTGGGCGCCCTGGTTACTGGGCTCTGGTCCGACCTCCCTCATCGCTGGAAGCTATCGGGACCAGCGGCCTGTGTCCGTCTCTGTGTCCTCTCCTAAGTCCCCCGACAGCACAGCACGGGGCCCTGATCACCCACCAAGCACTGTCCCCTCTCAAGGACCCTTTGTGGCACAGTTCCACCCCACCTAGGCGGACCTGGCCCCCATCACTGGGGTGGCTCAGGGACTCACATGAAAGGCGGCACTGCACACGCACACACGTGTACATACACACACGCGTGAGAGTCCGTCCTTCTGACCACGCGGAAGCTTCCTAAACGTGAAAACTGACGCGTGCAGTAAACCCAGAAACACGTCCCAGCTGAGAGAGCGCGCTGGCCACACCCTGAGCGACAAAGGGGCTCCTGAAGTCGGCAGGACAGTGGCCGAGCAGCAGGGTCCGGAGCAAGCCTGCTTGCGGGTGGGGCTGGGCCCAGCCCACGGGTCACCACGTCACCTGGTGTGGGGGGGCATCTTCCGAGACCTGCTGAGGGCCAGAGACCCTTCATGTCTGCTCAGTCACAAGAACGTCACAGCTGCGCTGTCCCTATCACCAGACTGTAAACCACCCAGGGCCCAACGACAGATTTTATCACGGGAACACGACGGTGGCACATTACCAGACAATGAGTGCCTTCAACGACCCAGCCCCACGGGTGAGAGACAAGGGGATCCAGAGCCTCACTGTGGGACCCCAACACACAGCGAAGCCGAGAAAAAGGCTCAGCAGCCTGGGCACTGTGCCCCTGCGGCCACGCACAGGACAGACAGGACAGCTGTCACTGGGTGCCTGGCCAAGGGCCTCATGGTGACTGCTTCTCCCCTGCGGCTCTCACGGGAGCTTCTCGTCTACACCGGGTCCTGACACGCATCCCATGAACCTCTAGCACTTGGCATGTCCCCAAAAGTGCTGCTTTTACAGAAATGCAGCCAGTTTTATGAGGGTGCATGGCCACCTGTCATTCGACACCCCGGGTGGCCCTTGGCCTGCCTGGAAGTGACTGTTACCACGACTCCCCCAACAGCGGCAGTCACCACCTCCCACCCTAGCCCATGGCCTCCTGGTGGACACGAGACCAGTGCTGGCCTAAGACAAGGAAGTGGACAATTGCAGCCCCGTGTCAGATGGACACCCCACCCCCCGCCCATGACCTGGGCTTGGTCCCAGCCACACGGCCGTGGAGCCCACGCTGTAGACCAGACTCACCAGCTTCACGCAGATGACGAAGGGTGGCCGGGCATCTCGGAAGTGCACGATGGGCACCCGGGGCTTGGGCCTTTCCTGAGGAACGAGGCGGCCACGGCGCACGGTCACGGTGGGCACGTGCCACCTGCACCCCTGCAGCACTCGGACGGGGGCCCAGGTCACAGCTGCCTGGGACTGGATCTGGCATCTGTCACCCCCACCCAGCCACATTCCCATCATGAATGGGCCCGGACTTGGGAGCGGGAAGACAGGTGGGCCCAGTGGCCTTTCCAGGAGGAAGGGCCCGGGCAGCGTCACACCCACGGCCCAGGATGGCATCCTGCAGGTGGCCCCCGTTGGGGACCAGGTCCCCGGCTCCTGGCCACACACCTTGGAGTCCTCGTAGCAGTAGAAGCCCTTCTTGATCTTATTCTCATCCACATCACAGAATGCAACCACCTGGAGAGGGTACGAAAGCCAACCTCGGGGACAGTGCTATGGGGGAGGGGTGGGGCGGGGGATGGGGGAC